ACTTGAGTTTGAACATTGCTATGATCGTTCAGTTGTCATCACTTATTAGACATTCATTTGACTATCGCAATGCGAAAATGGTTATCGCAACGAGAAAATCGCAATGCGAAATGAAAATCGCATTGCGATTTTCTCGTTGCGATAACCATTTCGCGTTGCGATAGTCTGTTTTGCCTTCAACATAAAGCAGATTGAAAATCAACAAATCAACTATTACATTTCAACACAAATTATGTACACACCAATTAAACAAATCAACATTTACAAATCATCTTTTACAAATCAATTAAACAATCAAAAAATAATAATAATTCTTATTTCTTCATCAATTATTGAATCAAGAATCAACAACTTTGTGACCCCGTACATCCATTTCACGCAGCTCACTTAAGGATTAACCTGCAGAAACCAAACATTTGCTCAAACAAGACTTCCTACACATCTAAAACCTACAAACAGCAAATTATTGAATTCTAGGTACTTAACCAAACATTTTCAAACCAAAAGGAGTATATATGTTAACAAAACTTGCATTATGTGTATTTTATGTGTGTACTTTTAACATTTTCAGTTAGGCATGTATTAGTAACTTGAGTTTGAACATTGCTATGATCTGTTCAGTTGTCATCACTTATTAGACATTCATTTGACTATCTCAACGTGAAAATGGCTATCGCAACGCGAAAATGGTTATCGCAACGAGAATATCGCAACTCGAAATGATAATCGCATTGCAATTTTCTCGTTGCGATTTTCATTTCGCATTGCGATTTCATTTCGCATTGCGATTTTCTCGTTGCGATAGCCATTTCGCGTTGCGATAGTCTGTTTTGCCTTCAACATAAAGCAGATTGAAAATCAACAAATCAACTATTACATTTCAACACAAATTATGTACACATCAATTAAACAAATCAACATTTACAAATCATCTTTTACAAATCAATTAAACAATCAAAAAATAATAATAATTCTTATTTCTTCATCAATTATTGAATCAATGAATCAACAACTTTGTGACCCCGTACATCCATTTCACGCAGCTCACTTAAGGATTAACCTGCAGAAACCAAACATTTGCTCAAACAAGACTTCCTACACATCTAAAACCTACAAACAGCAAATTATTGAATTCTAGGTACTTAACCAAACATTTTCAAACCAAAAGGAGTATATATGTTAACAAAACTTGCATTTGACTTACCAATTAACAATGGACACTTTCATAACGCGGATGCAGGTAGGCAGCGTCTCGAATATATTGCTCTAGCCATATAATGCCGAAACCAAGCCTACTGCAGCTCTATCTCTATCGGTGGGAGGTAAAAACTCTGTGCTTCCCGTCGTCAAACGCGCCAAGCAAAGGCATACGAGAGGACCACAATCCCCTCTGGCTCCCGGCGATTGCTGTGGCGCGGTCTCGTCTCTGACAACTGTGACATTGAACTTCTTTGGCTTCTTGTGTCCAGAATGACTCCAATACTTAATCCCATCCAAGAATTTAGCCAAATGAGAGCTCCATCCCTTGAAAATATCTCTCAAATCAGACAGTGATATGTAATTGATCATGCTGTCATACACTATTATCTTCAGGGATGGGAGCTGAAGTTGGACGAGAAGCCAGTGACGACGTTCCAAAACAGGGATAAACACCTGTGATCATAAGTAATAATTCATTTATTTGCGCACTTATTATTTATTAACACCTTTAAAAAATTTAAAAAATTAACACTAACCTTATCGACCTCCCACCATGCAGGATAAAGTTTAGCTTGTCCATTGCCCAACAAAAATGATTCATCTCGTTGATTCTTCAAGTGAACTGCGTGAAAAGCCGTCGGCATTATTGTATATAGCGAATTTTTTTTATTTTTCCTAAGCTTCCTTATTATTAGTAGACGTAACACCCATGCATCGATATGCTGTTTTACAAAAAAAATACATATATTAGTGAATTACATTAATTTTTAAACAAATTAATCAAAATCATATATAAGACAAATATAGTCTTACCTCCCCATCCAAATAGCCACTGTCTTCAACCCCTAATAGCACACCCCACCAAGACCGATCAAGCAACAAAAACATTTCATCGTTGAGTTTGTTGATGTCAGTGTAACACCCTTGGCTCCGCTCATGTAGATAAAAATCAACTGCGGTCTTAGCCCAAAGGGTATTATCCACAATTGTTTCCGGTAGTTGTCTCCTCTCCACTTCAGATACCGGAAGGGTACTAGCCGGTAACTCATACGAGAGCCAACTCTCATCCATCATATCCGGAACCGGTGGGGGTTTCTCAATACTTCGATATATTACCCCATGTGAATCGGGCTCTGGAATGGTGGGAGGGACCTCTTCAACGATGACAGTGGCCTCTTGAACGGTGGGGGGGAATCTTGAGGGAGAATAGGGGCCTCTTGAACGATTGGAGGGGACTCTTGAGGGATGATCGGTGAGTCGGGCTTCTTCTTGCGGAGTCTTCGCACCATTGGGGTGAACGGAGACGTAATAGCACGTCTACGCCGTTTGATGCGTGAACTCCGTCGTGCAAGGAAAACCCGACGTAAAGCATCCACCTTATCGGGCCGCTAAAAAAAATTAATACATAAATCAGTAAATAAACAGACATGATATTAAACAAAGACAAATATGTTTCAAACTAGCATTGTATTCACCCAAATCATTATTCTATCATAGTTCACAAAATGCTCAGATAACATTCCAGAAGTAAGCACTTATATAAACATTTAAAAGGACAACATATATAAACATTCCAGAAGAAGAATAGTTTACTTTCGCAACACGAAACTTAAAATCGCAACGCGAAATGACTATCGCAACGCGGAAATGGCTATCGCAATGCGAAATGAAAATCGCAACGACAAAATCGCAACGCGAAATGAAATCGCAACGACAAAATCGCAACGCGAAACACAAATCGCATTGCGATTTTCATTTCACGTTGCGATTTTGTCGTTGCGATTTCATTTCGCGTTGCGATTTTGTCGTTGCGATTTTCATTTCGCATTGCGATAGCCATTTCCGCGTTGCGATAGTCATTTTCGTGTTGCGAAAGTAAACTATTCTTCTTCTGCAAATTGAAACTTGAATGGATTGCATTACTTCAACCAAAAGACAAAAACAAAACCAAAAACAAATACTAACAAAAACAGATTGGCAGCAACCGAATGAATTACGAGTATGAAAAATCTTAAACTTACCTCGTTGCGTAGAGTATGAACCTCATTCTGCAACGATGCTACCATCTCACGTAGAGCGGCTACCTCACCGCGTAATGTAGACACCTCAACACGCCATGCACCATCGTCTTTGCGTAAAGTACCGACCTCCTCACGCAAGGCATTGACCTCATCACGTAACTCCCCTAACTCATCCCGTTGAGGTGGAGGTGGAGAACAGGGAGATAAACGTCGTGACATCTTTGCCGGTCGCCTATCTTGCGGTGATGGTGGAGAAGAGGCTCGATGATGTGAAAGAATAGGTGATGGCTGTCGTTGTGGAGGTGTATAGCCGGGTCGATCAGATGATGGCTCTAGGTGAGGTGATAGCTCTGGGCGAGGTGATGGCTCCCGAAGTGGAGGCTGCTCATCAACCGTTCCATCAAAAAACGCTTACTAGCTTGCCACCAATCAGTGGCAAGCTCAGCTTCCGTGGGTGTCAGCCTCTGTAGAGGAGTGTTGGCCTCCTAACAATATAAAAGCTTAAACAAAGTTAAATGTATACTAGTAATAACTTGTTTATAACATATGGTAGTATTTATTAACTTACATTATTTATTGTCGTATACCGTAGTAAATCTTCCCATTGCAAGGTTCGTTTCCTCTTCCAGGAAATAGCCCTGGGAATATTATTTGAAGTTTTTATTGCATATGTCTTCATGGCGGGAAAGGCCTCAAATATCCAAATCTACAAACAATATAATAACAAACATTAGTAATTGTTAAATAATTACTTATAATTTTGGTAACATTATATAAAAATTCTTACCTTAAAGGCCCAAATAAAGCCTGTCAAAGTGTATTTGGAACCATCGCCATGCAAACTTTTCGATCATCCAAGGCAGACGATAACTTATTCCATGTAGCTTTCCATAAATACGAGCCCCACGGAAACAGGTTCCACGCATTTAGGTCTTCTACCAATTTGATTAGATCATTTGGAATAGGTTGTCTGGCCTCTCTGCCTAAAAAGCCGGCATGCAAAAGAATTAGAAGGCATACTCGGACAACGTCGACGTCATCCATTCGAGTAAAACCATCTTTATTATTCAAAAATCTTGTCAGGTATTCTACGTGTAGACTCGGCCTCTCCAGCTCAGGAAAAACCCGGGATAGCCATGATGGGCGGGTAATGTGTCTAGTGTACCGACCTACATCATCGTGTCTGAAGTGTAGACCGGTGATTAAGCAAAACTCCTCCCGCCCAAAACACGTATACGCCGGTGGAAAATCAAACCATATCTCTTCATCACGACGTTGTATAGTCTCTGGTAGATCTCTAGTCATGGTTTGAAGAAACAGGTGTGTCAACATCGCATCTCCACCGGGATGTTGTACTTTCAGCCATGGCCCAAAGCATGTATCCTCAAACATTTTTCTTTGTGCAGGTGAAAGCTTCGACGCAATTGTTTTGGCCAGGCTGACTTTTATTTCTCAAGGTCAATTGAGCCGAATAAAAGTTCTACAAAAACAATAAACATACTAAATTAGATATACCAAAAACTACACTGTGAAGATATACCAAAAACAATAATAAACATAAATAGTAGTAGTTTATTCTTCAAACTTAAATATGCAACACTGTGAATTTCGTATTTGTCTTTATTTTTTGGTTGAAGTAATGCAATTCATTCAAGTTTCAATTTGCAGAAGAAGAATAGTTTCTGAAAATGAAAAATCGCAACACGAAAATGACTATCGCAACGAGAGAATCGCAACGCGAAACTAAAATCGCGTTGCGATTTGCATTTCGCGTTGCGATTCTTGGTTGATTTAATAAGCAATCTAAGTGAAATGGTTAATCTATTATTGAAATTACCAGTAAACCTATCATCAATTTCAATATGAAAAACCTAATAATAATGCAAAAATTTCAAAAAGAAAATAATTAAAAAAACTAACCCTCGTTGGTTGATTTGGTTGATTTTCCATTTCTGATTGTGAGGGTGGCTCTGAGAGATTTAGATAGACGGATTTCACCGGAGATGGGGACGAATTTCGTCGGAGATGGGTGAGAGAGTGAGAGATGGAGATGGGACTGAGTTGTGATTTTAGGTTTTAGGTTATGAGTTGCGATTACGGGATATACTGTGGACAGTTCAGTGTTCCAATATATTTATATTCATGTTTGGAATTTAAAAATAAAATACTTGGCAAGGATACTAATGGCGCTTTGAAAATCGCATTGCGATTATGTATTATCGCGTTGCGAAAGTCAGTATCGCGTTGCGAAAGTAAGTATCTCGTTGCGATTTTTTATTATCGCATTGCGATAGTCAGTATCGCATTGCGATTTTCCCAATTTGCGTTGCGATTTACTTATTCGCATTGCGAATTTCCCAATTCGCGTTGCGATTTACTTATTCGCATTGCGAATTGGGAAAATCGCAATGATACTGTAGACTATCGCAACGCGATTTTCAACTATCGCATTGCGAAAATGCAACGCGAATTTGCGATAATGGAGATCGCGTTGCGAATTAGCGATCGCATTGCGTTTTTGTTGGTCATTTTGGCAAATCCGGAAAAAGTTGGTTAAAATCGTATATTATATGAGATTTTTGGTCGCTGAGGTTATTTTCTCATGTTTTTTATACAAACAATTAATTTTATTTTGTTTAATTTCATTTAAAATAAAAAATATCTCAAATTATAATAAAAATTTTCATTCACAATCATAAATTAAACACATAATTAGAAATTTTTTCTAAATTCATTCAAACAAAATTAACAATTTAAGATCACATAAAGATTAAAAATTTAACAAAAAAACTTGAACAAAAATAATTACAAACATATCTGTTTGCATAATCAAACAAACCAAAAAGGAATCAAGTTATTAAAAATCACAAATAAGATAAACACCATTTTAATCAGTCGTGATAACATCAAATCAACTCTTAGAAAAAGAAAAATGAAAAACGATCAAATAAATGAAAAATATGTCAAAAGGTAGAAGAAGACGCGTTACAAAGACACATAAAAACGTGTCATATAAATAGATTCATTGAAAATCACAAAACACAAAAGAACATAAATACGAAAAATTAGTATCATCGTCGATCAATAAAAACAAAAAATAAAAAAGATGATCACGAGTATATATTATAAACGGAAATAAAAAATTAAAAAATGGAAAGAAGAGTATCATATATAGTCCTAGACTTGGTTTGCTTATGCATTTTCCTTTTAACTTTCTTTTTCTTGTGTCCAAGATTGTCATTGAATAACTACAAATATGCACAAGCTTCGAATCGAGAGTATCGATGGGTATAGGTCGAATTTTTGGTTAATCTAATTTGATTTGAAATTATATACACTCTGTTTGAAATTTGATTCGACTAGAGTTTAGAGATGACTTCACTTGACCCTAATTTGATTTAATCTTTTTGAGATAAAATCTGAGTTAATTCGACACAACTGAAATAAATATATTTATAAAAAAATTATTTTTTATTCAATAAAAATAGGGATCTAATTGAAAAAAAAATATTTAGAAGATTATTATTATAATTATCTCTAAATATATAAGGTAAATTTATATTATTTTTTGGGTAGAGTCGTGTCGAGTATTTTTTTACCCTAAATCTGAACTAGACCTGGCCTAAATATTTATTTACTAAAAAAATGATCTGATCCGATCCAAATCCATTTAAAAAAACTGATTAAATTAAGTCAAATTAACTCGAAACCCGTTGAATTCGGATCTCGTGTCCATCCTAATCGAAACTTTAATCATTGTTACAATAACCATCACTACACGCATGGACCCAACATGTAGAAAATAACTTGTTCGAATCGAGAGATCACCATTATTCATCTATGGAGGAACACTTAACCAGAAAAAAATATTTCTACACCATTTTCTTTGTATGCTGAGCTATACGACGCCCAAAACTACAGTGTCTGTCTGAGACATCAACAAGAAGAGTCCAAAGCACAAAAATAACCGCCAAGTATCACCGGCGGCAGTGTTCCAGTGTATCGGATTCCAATGACGATGATGACAGTAGGCAAACAACAATATCAACAAAAGCACTAACGATGAACTTGTGGATGTTTTTGGGTATACAAAAATAATTTTTATTTCTTGAGATCCGGGTTCGAATATCATGAATGTCAAAACTATAAACATTCAATATAAAATAATTCATAATTTTTTTTTTGAATAAGAAAGGCCTAATCTAGAAGACTAGGTTCGAACAGATTTAAGGTATAGATGACCAATACATCTCTACTAATAAGGGGTTGCAAAGTCTGTGGAGGCGATAGGATCAATCTGATGTTGTAAGGCACACCAGGGAGCTTAGTGATGACATCAACAAGCATGTTGTACTCTCGAGGGATCCAGGTAATTGTATCGACCAAGCTTGTTGCCAGAGGCGATGAATAGCTCGGACAAGGGGAAAATGACTGAAGGACGGGTCACCCCATCAAGTAAGTTTGGATTCATCTTTTCAATGATAAAGTCGTAGTCGGAACAACATATGCGTTGGTGAATGACTGGGACATCGAGATACTGACGCCAGATAGAATAACGATTATCCTGTCGGCTAGTTCCAACAGATGATTCACAAGAGAAAATTCGCCCAAAAACCAGAGAAAAAAAGTCTCTAGAGTTTAATAAAATATTATAAAATCAAAACATTCCAAAATCAGTTCACAAGCCGGACTGTTATAGCCAAAAATCTTGTTTATCGAAATTTTACCAAAAATAGAAAAATCCCGAAAATCACTCTAAATTGAAATTCAAAATAAAATAAGCAATCTGCAAAAAATATGGCCGAAATCGGGTTTAAAATGAATTCCTAATTGACAATCGAAATATTACCATAAATAGTAAAAAATATCTAAATCTAGTGATTCGGAGGGGAAAACGGAAGATTTTGAGGTCGAAAAAAAGGTCACATGGAGCATAACTCATGTGGACAGCGTGCGTGTCGAAAAGAGCTTTCCGGATTGGGATCTTATGCGCGATTCTGACACCCGTAACCAAAGTTATGGCCAAAAGACTGAAGCACACTTAAAACGGCCCCAATGAGGAACATATCACAATCAATTCCCGCCTTTGCGCTGATCTGCCAACTCATGGTATCTCAACGCCATCAAGGTGCAATCTGACAGCTCAGCATCATCTATCTCGGATCCCTCTGCATCAGTCACCCCGGGTTGGAAAGAACTCGTCCTCGAGTTCAGAGTAGTGTCATCAGAATCCACAAAACAATGACTCAAGTGCTTCACATTAAAGACATCAGAAGTCTTCAAGTGACTTGGAAGGCGCAACCTGTAAGCATTATCATTGATCTTCTGAACGACCTCACAAGGTCCAATCTTCCGATCCTTAAGCTTATTATACTCACCAACAGGAACACGATCACGAGTTAATACAGCCCAAACAAAACCACCAACATCAAAAAGTACCTAACGACGATGATTGTCAACCCGAGTCTTGTACTTGGTATTGCTCTCATGAATGGTCTGTTTCACCTGCTCATGGATACCCCGAAGATACTTTGTCATCTCATCTACTTTAGGACTAAAACGTCCTATACGTGGAATAGGGGCTAAGTCCAGCACCCCGGATGGGTTCTGACCATAGACAATCTCAAATGGGCTTAAACCTGTGGTTCTGTTTTTTGATATGTTGTAGGCAAATTCTGCCTGAGGCAATGCCAAATCCCACTATTTCGGCTTCATTCCTGCTAAACACCTAAAAAAGGTTTCCCAAACTTCTGTTAACCACCTCGGTCTGGCCATCCATCTGGGGGTGGTAGGTGCTACTGAAATTCAACTCTGTTCCCAGTTTCCCCTACAGGCTCTTCCAGAAATGACTGATGAACTTAGTATCACGATCTGAAGTGATGGATCAAGGAACACCATGTAAACGCACAATCTCCTTGAAATAAAGATGGGCAATCCGGTCAACATCCATAGTCTTTCTGCAAGCTACAAAATGAGCCATCTTGGAAAACCTGTCAACCACAACAAAGATAGAATCCGAGGCCCTTTGGGTGCGGGGTAAGCCTAGTATAAAATCCATGCTGACATCGAACCAAGGAGTTTCAGGAATTAGTAAGGGAGTGTACAAGCCCGTATTGGTGAGAACTCCCTTAGACCGCTGGCACACATAACAACAGTCCACATAATGGGCATCACTAGTCAACTTGGGCCAATAAAAGTCAGAAGAGATAAGGGCCAAGGTCTTATCTCGGCCAAAGTGTCCCTCATTATGAAGTTTACTTATAATTTGCTGCCTCAATGAACAATCTGGAATGCACAACTGTAATCTACGAAATATATACCCATTATGCAAAACAAAATCATGACGGTGACCCTCAGTTACTTCCTGAAATATTCTTCCAAAGGAAGGATCAGCTGCATACATATCTGTGAACGACTCAAAGCCTGCAACTTTGGTATTCATGGTGGTGAGGAGTAAGGTACGATGACTCAGGGCATCTGCGACGCGGTTCAAATTCCCTGCTTAGTGCCTCAGCGTAAAAGTGAATTCTTGCAGGTATGCCACCCACTTGGCATGACGTCTACTCAGCTTGTGTTGGCCATTAATGTACTTCAAGGCCTCATGATCAGTAAATAGAATAAACTCCTTCTGTACTAGGTAGTGATGCCAATGCTTCAGGAACTGAACTATGGCATAGAACTCCAAGTCATAAGTGGAGTAGTTTTTTTTTATCCTGATAGCTTCTCACTAAAAAAAGCAACAGACGACCTGCCTGATTCAGAACATCACCAATGTCAACGCCAGATGCATCACAATTTACCTCGAATACTTTTTCAAAATCAGGAAGTGCCAAAACTGGTGCCTCGATCATCTTCTGTTTGACCAGTTGAAAACTGGCCTCTGCCTCCTCAGACCACTGAAAATCACGCCCCTTGAGGCATTCTGTGATAGGGGCAATCAGAGTACTGAAATTTCTAATGAACCGACGGTAGAAAGATGCCAATCCATGGAAACTTTGGATGTCATATAAGGTCCTTGGTCTGGGCCACTCCAAGACTGCATCTATCTTTGACTGATCTGCATGAACATCGTCAGTAGACACAACAAAACCAAGAAAAGTCACAGAAGTAGTGAAGAAAGAACACTTCTTCTGATTGACGAACAAGCACTCTTTTTTCAGCATCTCAAAAACAGCACGGAGGTGATCGAAGTGTGAAGTCCATGTCGGACTATAAATGAGGATATCATCAAAGTAAACTACAACAAATTTCCCCATAAAAGGTCGCAAGACCTGATGCATAAATCTCATGAACGTACTGGGCGCATTGGATAGCCCAAAAGGCATGGCCATCCACTTATACAAACCTTGCGGTGTTTTAAATGCTGTCTTCCACTCATCTCCAGGCCTTATTCTGATTTGGTGGTATCCGCTCTTAAGGTCAATTTTTTAGAAGACCTTAGAACCGGATAGTGATCTAACATATCATCTAGACGAGGAATTGGAAATCGGTACTTTACTGTAATTCTGTTGATCGCTCGGTTGTCAACACACATACACCAAGAACCATCTTTCTTTGGCACTAGCAGGGTAGGGACTGTACATGGACTCATACTCTCTCGGATATAGCCTCTCTCCAAAAACTCTTCTACCTGTCGCTGCAACTCTTCAGCCTCCTTCGGACTGAGGCGATATGCTGGTCGATTTGGTAAACTTGACCCAGGAACAAGGTCAATTTGATGTTGAATATCCCTCATAGGCGATAGCCCAGGAGGAGGATCCTCTGGCATCAAGTTAGAGAATTCTACTAGCAACCGTTGTACCTCTACTGGTAAATCCGTATCCACGTCTACTACACTATTCTCGCAAGGTAGTAAGGCATAGACCACACCTCCATGCTCAATCTCATCTAAAAACCTGGACATAGAAAGCAGGTTAGTATTATTGGTTACCGGGGTAGGAGTGAGTCATTCCCGCCGGGGAGCCAACATAATCTTTTTTCCCTTGATGCTAAGGGAATATGTATTCTTCTGTCCGTCATGAATAATACTACGATCATACTGCCAAGGTCGACCCAACAATATATGACACGCATCCATAGACACAACATCACACCAGACATTATCAAAATATTTTCTACCAATTGAAAATGATATGAGGCATCACCTATCAACTGTTACCTCACTTCCTTTATTTAGCCATGACAACTTGTATGGTTTAGGATGATGGTCCATCTTCAACTGCAATTTCTGGACAACCTCATCGGACACTACATTCTCACAACTGCCACTGTCAATGATCATTTTGCAGACTTTATCTGCAACTGTACAGGTCGTGTGGAAAATATTGGTTCTCAACCAATCGTCCCCTGAATCGCCCTTGGGGGTAAATAAACTCTTGCGAACGACCAGAGTCTCATGACCATCTCCATACAACACATCATCAGTCTCATTATCATCATACACGAGTTCACTAATCTCCTCAGTCTCGTCTTTCGCGTTTTCCTCAATCAACAAATTTTTGCCCTTTTGACTAGCAGGCTTCCTGCAATCAGTCGCCCTATGCCCTTGTTCACCACAACGAAAACATCTAATAGTAGGGTTAGAATTACCCTGCGGTGGCTGCTGAACAGGACGGGAATCCTGAGGGCGAACTGGTCGACTGTTGTGATCGCTCCTGATCATTGGTCTCCTATTTTGATGTTTTTCAACAGCAAGTGCACGCTGGTATGCTTCCGAAACACTCCACAGTGAATGAAGGCTGAGGACATCTTGCAAGGGCTGGCGTAACCCCCCCCAAATATCGTGCCACCATCTGCTCCTCCGTCTTAGATAAATCATTCCGGGCGACCAATTGGTAAAACTCCTCTATGTAATCATCGACTGATCGCGACCCCTGCCTCAACGTATGAAGTCGTTGAAATAAGGTTTGCGTGTAGCTGGAGGGAAGGAAGTGACCCTTCATCTTCTCCCAATCAGTGATCTTGGCCTTGCCCTGTCTTTCTCGTGAACGTCGCAACTGTTCCCACTACACAGATGCTCTGCCCTTGAGTTTGATGGCGATCAATTTCACTTTCACACGATCGGGGACTTCCTTATATTCAAAAATACACTCCACTTCATTAATACAATCCACAAATCCCTCAGCCTGTAACGTACCAGAAAACTCAAGAAGATCAACCCGAAAACTAAGGTCTCCATGACGCTCCTCCTGACCACGGTGTTCCCGGAATAGAGCACGATTGTGATATGGGTTTTCGAAAGCGGAATTTGTATCGTGTTTAGAGGCCTCACGATCCTCAAAATCCTACGCCGCTAGACGCTGGGTTAATTCTGCGACTTGCCTCTGTAAATCCGCAATCATCACATCCTGAACGTTGCGATCACGGCGTTGGGCTTCCTCATTCAGAACCTTCTCACGACGACCACGACCACGACCTCCAACCATTGAAACTGGTGAAATTTCCCAGGAAGATGTTGAAGCTCTGACACCAACTGACGCCAGACAGAATAACGATTATCATGTAGGATAGTTCCAACAGATGATTCACAAGAGAAAATTTGCCCAAAAACCAGAGAAAAAAAGTCTCTAGAGTTTAATAAAATATTATAAAATCAAAACCGTCCAAAATCAGTCCACAAGCCGGACTGTTATAGCCAAAAATCTTGTTTATCGAAATTTTACCAAAAATAGCAAAATCCCGAAATTCACTCTAAATTGAAATTCAAAATAAAATAAGCAATCTGCAAAAAATCCGGCCGAAATCGGATTTAAAATGAATTCCTAATTGACAATCGAAATATTACCATAAATAGTAAAAAATATCTAAATCTAGTGATTCAGAGGGGAAAATGGCAGAATTTGAGGTCGAAAAAAGGCCACATGGAGCATAGCTAATGTGGACAACGTGCGCGTCGAAAAGAGCTTTCTAGATTGGGGTCTTATGCGCGATTCTGACACCCGTAGCCAAAGTTATGGCCAAAAGACTGAAGCACACTTAAAACGGCCTCAATGAGGAACATATCACAATCAATTCCCGCCTTTGCGCTGATCTGCCAACTCATGGTATCTCAGCGCCATCAAGGTGCAATCTTACAGCTCAACATCATCTGTCTCAGATCCCTCTGCATCAGATACTTACTAAGTGTATCAACTTATTAAAAACTCAACATGTCATAAATAGGATTGCAAGAGCCGATAGAGGTTTTTGGTGAGAAAAAATATGTTTTTCGTTTGCTAGCTTTATGACCAGAGAGTTTCCCGAACTCGGCTAGAACGTGGTTCATAATATTAGCTTGGACTTGGGATGCTTGTCCATAAAGAATGAGGCCATCCGTGAAGAAGAGATGGGAGATGCTTGTGCCCTGACGAGACACACGTAAAGGAGTATATGCTCCAAGCTTCACAGTGTGGTCAATGCAGCGACTAAATATCCATGTCATTGAACCACCATGGAGGAAGAGGAGATACAATGCATTATTACCCAGATTAATCCAAGTGGGTAGCTAGCAAAGCAAAGGGTCTCATGAATGAAGTCTCACCCCAATCTATCGAAGGCTATTTCTAAGTCGACTTTAATAGCCATCCTACCAAGTTGGCTATTTGATTGCCCTATTGAGTGGATAATATCTTGGTTGATAATGATATTTTCGGTGATGGACCTACCAGAAATGAAGCTCGTCTGAGTTGGTTTAAATAGAATGGGCATAATGCCCTTCAAGCGGCGAATAATAACTTTAGTGAGGAGCTTGTAGATAACTGTACAAAGACTGATGGGTTGAAACTCAGAAAAAGTGTTATGAATTATCCACTTTGGGAATGAGGACGAGAATCGTTTTGTTTAGGTCTGGTTCTAAGTCACCACAGGTAAAGATGTCATGGATTGTTCGACAAACATAATTTAGCGTGCATGCCATCATGCCCTAGGGCTTTGAGAGGGGCCATTTAAAGCAAAACATTGTGGATTTTCTCATCGAAATGGATATCATCTAGAGTAGCAAGTACAAATCCCAAAATATGAGGGAAACGATTAGGGGCAGTAAATGAGTCAATAGGTGCGGCATCAAGGGAGAAAATATCCTTGAAATAGTTGATGGTGGCCTCCTTGAGAGTATCAGCATTGATACACCAGTCGCCATCATCAAGTTTGAGAGCCATAATTTTGATTCGTTGCTTCCGAATGGTTGTCTTCCGGGGAAAATATTTTGTATTGCAATCACCAAAGGTAATCCAATCAGAGCGGGTTTTCTGTCGCCATAAAGTCTCATCTTTATCAAGGAGGCATTCAAGATCTAGAAGCATATTAGATTCAAGAGAAGTTAAATAAGTAGAGATGCACCTGGAAATGGCTTTCTGAACACCTTTTAAGCGAGCCATAATGATTCTTTTTTTGTGTCGACATATGCAAAGACTGACTTATTTAGTTGCTAAAGTGAATGATTTGATTGTTTCAAAAAGAGGAGTATTCTAGTTGTTAGTGACCATGGGGGCAAAATCCTCATGATTGATCTATTATGAGAAATATTTGAAAGGAGCAGGAGAGTTTCGACGGTTTTCCTCGCCCATTTGGAGAAGAATCGGTCTATGGTCATATTACATGCGAAGAAGGTGGAAAAATTGAGTAATAGGAAAGGACTCATCCTAGTAAGTATTACAAGAAACCTGATCAAGGCGAGCCTGACCCATGTCGTAAGACCAAGTAAAATCAAAGCCTTGGAACTCCATGTCTCGTAAGCCATAATTAAGTAGCATATCCTGGAAATTCTTACTAGGCTTAGTGGAAGCTGCACATATTTTTTTGTCGATGGTTGTAAGGGTAGCATTAAAGTACCCAAGAATGATCCAAGGATAATGAATAGAGGAAACGAGATGCCTGAGATGATACCAAAGAGAACGATGCTTTATGGCATTAGACAAAAGTAGTTATGCATGACGAGGTGAGGCTACCTCGATGTTGCATAGTAGGGCCAAATGAAATGGAGAGGGATTTACGAGCCACTATAGGGCTTTTCCTATGAATAATCTTAGTAAGTTGTGTTGATGAGGCTTTACCCTTTAATGGTTTTCTGGACAGGGAAAGATTCGCTTAATCATTAGATACCTTGGGTTCCGGTATGAGGACTTCAGTTTGCGTATGGGAATCAAACCATTATCAGTGGCATCATAAATCGGATTAAACCGTAAACATTTTATAACATCGTATTCTTTCTGAGAGGATTGGTCATTTTACGGCTTGGCTAGCTTTCGAGGTCAGCGTTCTACCATCATCCAAGGGTCGAAGGAAACAGTATTATTCAATTTTGGATCATTAGAAGGGACAATCTTAGCTGGGATGGGGGTATCAGAAGACGCATGTTGGAGTAATGAGCAAGTTGCAGAGTTATGGCCATATTTGCCGCAATTGAAACTGATGAACAGGAAGGATTTGTATTCAATGATTTGCACCTGTTCATTAATTAGAATATTAGATATCAAAAGTTTATTGAGATCCACCCAGACGGTCATACGAGCTAAACGACCACATCTTCCATTCTGAGTTTCATAATCAATGCGGATGACATGACCAATACATTTTTCGATCTCAGTAATTAGTCTTTTTTTATATAGAATCGTAGTAAATCCGATAGTCGAATCCAAACAATGATCTCGCTTGGATATGGTTGAGAGATAGAGAAGTCTGGTGACTAAGGTTCGACAGTCAAGTAGTGTCTAAAGATGGTCCAAGGTCCATCGGTGAGTACTTTTAGAAAGTCAGAGCAAATGCAGAAACATACTAGAAAATAATCATTCTCTATGCCTATTAGTTTGATTGGCTAAGAAGGCTTCCAGATTTCATATTTTTTGTTTCAGATAGTGGTATAACCGATTCGTCATTTGAGGAGTTTAACCACAACCGTTTGGTCAAAAAAAAATTCTCAAGGGTTTAGATCATTTCAAAGAAGTTAATAGATATTGTCATGCCCCACGTGATCAAGCCGGAAACATGTGCGCTGAGGTCTGTGACAGAGGTTTTCAAGGGCATATTGGGCGTGACTAGCCCATCAAACTTAGCCCAAAATGTGGAAAGTGCTAAAAGGCCCTAACCCGTTCACATTGATCGTACAAACATGAAAAGTGTCACCTTATTAAATTATGTCCATATAGGCAGCTCATATATGAAAAGAGACAACAAATCATAGGAAATTATGAGAGAATCTTACTATATCAAGTGTAAACAACCATCCAAGGAAAGAATCAAAGTAATTGAGGCGATGAGATGATGGTTTGCTTATGTTCCTTTAAATAGAGGATTTGATTAGATGGTGATTGATGGAGTTTCCTTAGTTATGAAGATTTTGTAATTAATGGGGCTCATCTTAGCCATTGATATAATTCGATCTTAGTCGTCTATTGTAAAAGGATTCAACTATAAATATAGGCCTCCCCACCTCATTTGTACACACTTCATTTGAGTAATAAAGAGCATTCACTCAATCCTCTATTCTTGTTCTATGAGAGCCATATCATTTCTAGCGTTTGTGCTTCTGTGTTTTTACAAAGTATTCTTACTTAGTGTTTTCAGGTTGACTTAGCTGTCAAACCATTCAAGAAATGTTCCAAGGCGACTAAGGTCACACATTCTAGAGTTGAAATCTCCAAGGGCATGACAAGTGGTATCATAGTTATTTTATTGCAGCAACAACGGGAGTTTCAAACTAGTTTTGGAAGAGATGTCACCATAAAACCAAAAAGAGGTCCCAGTTTCTATAGAAAGAGTTGAGACCCGTGCAACTGGAGAAAAAGTGAGGGAGATTGAGAGATGTTGTGTCATCAATTGAGAGGAGACCTAATAAGTTGTAAGGCTTCGAGGCCAAAGTCACGGAGGATTATGGCGAGAAAAAGACGAAAGAATACAATGTTGTGAGAGTCAAGGTGTTGGGTTTGAGGAAGGAGCTGAGTGAAGTCCAAGAAATACTAGAGACAGTTGAATCTGTTGAGAAATGACTCAGAAGGGAGACCCAATGACTCATTGATAGTGTGAGTTCATTGTTCGATGAGGGGACCAAGGGCATTGAGAGTTTTTACTTGACCATGAGGGCGAATATGTCGAAGGAATTGAATGAGCTCGAGAGTGAGCTGTTCGATTTTAGAGAGCCATGGTGAATGTGGCGTTAGGAGTTGCACCCACGAGCAGTATCGAACAAGTTCAAGGGGATACGATCGACATGTGAAGTTGAGAACTTTATTTGGTGCATGGAGCAATGTTTTCCGAGGTGTGGGGGTAGAGGACAACTTCATTAAGGTAAATATTGCTTCAAATTATTTGACTGACGATGCTCTTTTGTGGTGGTGACATAGATACTCGAAGAGAAATCCCATAGGGGAGTGGAGTGAGTTCAAGGCCGAATTCAATAGATAATTTTTTCTCGTGAATGCTGAATTGAAAGCACCAAAGAAGAGAAAGAACTTATGCATGATGGTCTAATCCGAGAGTATGTGAGTCGATTTTTGAAGCTCAAGTTGCAAATTCTAACCATAAGTGAAGAGGAGGGATACTATGCCTTCTTGGGTGGACTACAACGATGAGCCAGTGCATAAGTGTTGTAGATGAACGTTAGAGACCTTTTAAAGGCTATAGCTTTGGCCGAGGCCTTATCAAAATTTGAAATCTTAGTCAAAAATCAAGGGCAACAATGGGGGAGACAGAGAGAAATCATTCAAGGATAGATCCAGAGAGCATCAAAATGGTGAGGGGAAGCCACAAAAGGGAAGAGCCAACCTATTTTGTGAATTGAGACTAAAAAGTTATATTAAATGTTACACTTGTGAGGGAATCCACATGGTGAGGGATTACTCGAAGAGGGGAAAAATGGCCGCCATCTTGAGTCAAAAAAATGAGTCACAAGCAGAGGTAGCCAGACTTGGCACAATTGTAAGCATCAAGGTTAGCAAGTCGAGGGTAGAAGTGGAGCAATCGAAGTTCCATCAAGGGGAGGGGTCACAAAGGTTGCAAGATTGGGATGATCAAGCCAAGAAGTCCAAAGGAGAGGACGAGTCCAAAGGTGAGGAGGCTATACGACTTGGCACGATGATCATGGGTTCTATCAAGCCGAATGCAGTCCAAATATAGAAAGGGTTGATGTACATGGACATCAGAATTGCTGGACAACAAAACAGTGTTCTAGTGGACACTGGGGCAACTGATCTTTTTATGTCAAAGATAGTTGCGGAAAATCTTGATCTCAAAGTAGAGAAGGCGAATGGTTACATAAAGACTGTCAACTCCAAGAAAGTGCCCATTGTTGGAGTGACGAGGATCGTAGAGCTTCGAATTGGCGAATGGAGTGGCAAGAGAGATTTCAAGGTAATTACGTTGGATGACTTAGATTTTGTTGTCGGGTTAAGTTTCCTTGAGCGAATTCAAGCTCTCATCATCCCTAACTAAGACACTATGCACATCACTGATTCACATTAGCCATGCGTTGTGCCAATGACTTGAGACAAAGGGAAAGGGCCAAAGTATTATCGGTCATCCAATTTAATGAAGATGCTCTAAGGGAGGCAAACATCACTTTGAAGGCAACTATTGGGGGCACGACTGAGGGATGGACAAAGGGACCTGAGGCTTCGAAAAACATGGAGGAACCACCAATGTGTGAGGTGGTAAAGGCACCAAACTTTAAGGGGGGAAGAATCGATGCAACAAGGGGCACCGAACTTCAAGAAAAAAGTGTCGATATGAGGAGAACCAAGCTTCGAGGAGGAAGCATCGATGCATAGGATACCAGACTCAGTGGAAAAAGGAGGGCTGATGCATTTTTGGGTGAATGCGACCAATGGGAAAAAGGTACATCTCGAACAAAACTCTTGTGTTGTTAAGTATAATTTTCCATCTTCGATGAGTGTAGGTCGAGAAAGACCTAACCATCAAGTTAAGGGGTAAAAAGGTTAGGAGGGACATACAAGACCTTTCAGAGTTCAAGAGGGCACACCAAGGATGCCGACGAGTCTGAAAGTTCAACCAAGGGGGTAATCCAAACCTTTACCGAATGATCGAGGGGGTTCGTATCGAGGCAAAACTAAACGAGTATGAAAAGGTTTCTACAATCGAGGTGCACACATGGGGGTGAGAGATCATGGAGTTATATGGCGGCAAAAGACAAGGCAAACAGTTCACATGGGGGAACCACAACAAGTCAAGGCACCTAGTGAGATTCAAAGTGGCCAAGTCTGAGTACAGTTCGATTCAGCGACGAGGGCATCGCTAGATTTGGTAAGAGAGATTGTCACGCACCGCATGATCAAGCCCAAAACATGTGCACTAGAGTCTGCTATTCATCCACAGGTGTTGTGGCGATTGTACGATCGTGCGGAGCAGTATGGTTTTCGTGGAAAGTCATTATTAAAGATCGACTTACTTTTATAATTAATAAATATCTTTAAATAGATACTATATTGTACTTACCATAAAAACTTTTTAGACTTTATTTAATATTCTTAGACATCTATTCGATAAACAATCATAACAAAACCATAAAAACTTTTATTTTACAAAAAAGTAAAAAATTAGTTTTAAATTAAATAAATAAATAAAATTGATTCAGTTTCGATAACTATACTAATTAACATTATATATTAAACTAATGATGAAAATCTAAACCAAATTTAATAATTTTAGTTCGATCAAAATTTTATAAAGTCAATTTTTTGAATTAGGATCCGATTAGATGTTGTAATAGGTGAAATCGAATTTAATTTAAATTTAAAGTAATTGTTTATCTAACTAAATTCAATAATATTTTTATATACTTAAATATAATAATTATAATACTTTTCCTTTTATAATTTAAATAGGTCCTTGTTTTATCGAAAATAAATATTTTTTATATTTATATTAGATCAAATTTAATTAAATACAAATTTTTATCTTAAATTTAAATTGAATATAAATCTAGATAATTTTTTTGGATAAACTACATATTTAGTACTAAACTATCAATTTTGATCCGTTTTAGAACCTAAACTTTTAATTTTTTTCAAAATCATATATAACATTTAGTTTTTGTTTTATTTTAGTACCCACTGTGAAAAACTTAACGCGTTTAGTACATAAATTATCACTTTGATCCGTTTTAGTACCTAAACTTTCAAAAATCTCCAAAACTTAACGTTATAATTTGAACATATGTACTAAAATAATACAAAAACTAAACTTTAGGTATGGTCTTAAAAACTGAAAGTTTAAGTATTAAAACGGATCAAAATTGATAGTTTAAGTACTAAACAAATGATTTACCCAAAATTTTGTTTAGATCATATCAAATATCAAATTAAGTGAATAGATAAATCCCATAAACAGAAGAAAACAATCATTAAATATGAGTCCAAATTAAAGTAGAATTAGAAAAACTAGTGCATAAATGAAGTAAATTGGAACATGACGAGTTCAAGTAAAGAGAACCCATCATCCCAAACATGACCTTAAGACACAGAATTAGGAAAGTACATTTTCCAAGGCTATAAAAGTCATTTAAATTCCTTATCCCTGTTAAATCCTACTTCCCTGTCTCAGATCTGAGACCATCGCTATAGCCTGTTGTTTTGGGTGGTTAAACGGTAGGTATTCTAACAATCAAAGCTTTTCCTCTTGGGTAACCCCAAATTTCTCATCTTGTAAAAACACCCACTTCCCTAACTTGTTCTGCATAGTAAACCAAACCTCCCTGATTTGTTAAAGATTAAACTTTTGACTTTTCACTGAGCTTCCAAAGATCCAAACTTGTAATCTTTTTGATCTTCTGGTGTGCTTCGATTTTTGCAGGTGAATCTTGGATTTTTGTTCTCATATGGATACTGCCCCTCATGCTGGTAGCCCTACTGAAGTGGGTAGTCCTCACATAGATATCCATCAAGATCTCTTTCCAGAGTAAGTTTTTAGGCTTTGTTTCTTCTTTATTTCTGCACCCAGATGTTGTTGCATTGTTTTATATCTGCTCAATTTCTTGCATAAATCTGTTGGGATGAGCTTTGATGTGGAATCATGAGAATTTGGGGTTTTTTTTTTGGAAGGTGAACTGTGTTAGAGAATGGAAGTTAGGGTTTGAAAAGTTAGCAAATTTATGTTTGAAATAGTTTTCCTGTGCTGAGTTGAAGGTTAGTTACCAGAAATTGAAGAGTTTTTCAATTTAGGGATGCTTTTTTTCTTTGCTTTTGAGGAAGCTTGGAAACCCCTAGTTTTATTTTGTTTTCATTATCAGTGTTTGGTTTGAAACTTTGATGTTGAAGGGCTGCACATGAATCTAACCCTGTTTCTGACAATATAAGAATTACCTGCGATCGGATCTCGATTGTAATTAGCTGCCTACGAAATCTTACATTCACGAACCGAAATCGTCTACTATTGAGCATAGCAACCTCTGTTGCTCCGATTCTTCGTTTCTTTTGTAAGTGTTAATTCGTGTTCGGGTATGGGTATAGAATATTAGCCTCCAAATACATGGAAATTGAATGTACTAGTGTCGGATGCATACCTATTATCTGACAGTTACAGCCGAATCTGAGTAACGTTAGTAGCTTCGGCTTATGTCTATATGAATTTTAAATTAATGTAGAAGACTTACCTTCTTAAGTTCAGCTTGCTTAATTATGTTTTCTTAAATGCAATTTTATCCCAATTGCAGTTACTATGGTGGTACAGCTTCCGCTCCGTCTATGCCAAAGGACGAATTTCCGGGAAATGATATCAATAATGGAAGTAACAAGGACGAATTTCCGGGAAGTGATATCACGAATGGAACTAACAATGGTCCTCCTGTAATTGAAGAGAATAATTTCCCCACACCCCTTGCACCAGTTCCACTCGATAGTTTCTCTGCACCAGCATCGGTTCTACCCGGCAGTAGCGGGGAAGGTTTACCTTATGCTCCTATGCATTGGCCGAATGCCGGTGATATCTGGAGCTGGAGAGTGGGGAAGAGAGTCAACGCTTCTGGCTTCTTCCTCGATAGGTTTCTCAGCGCTCCAGAAAGTCTTCGAAAACCAAATGTTCCAAAATACTTTACAAGCAAGCATATGATTGAGCGTTTTATCCGATCAAATTTCCCGGGTGCAGATATTGACGCTTTCTTCGCTTCGTTTGTTTGGAAGATCCCTGCCCTTGTGGAACATTCTACCAAAGGTTTGCTAAAAAAACATTTAGGTTATATTTTTGGTTCTGCTTTTTTCCATCTTCTGAGAAAATTTGGTTTCTGACTTCTTTTTTGTAGGAAGTTAGAATGCACACACACATATATTCCGTTGAAAAGTTAGAATGCATATCGGTCATTTAAGATTTGGTGTTTAATTATAGCCCGAGTGATTTCATTGGGTAGCGTACCCATGTCGATGGGATTTAACCGTTAAAGCTTGTCTGAGGGGTATCGGGATTGAATGAATCAAATATTTAAATTTCATCTTTTGTTTCTTCTTATAACTTGGTTGCAGACCTTGATATTGCATTTTATATGTCTTTAAAGTCCTTTGGTCCTTACACCACATAGATATGGTGTTATCGTGTGTTGCTTTATTCTTTATTTTCTTACTGTTTCTTCTGCTTCCTTTTTTAGTTTTGTGTGTTAAATTGAAGTTGTCTCCCAACAAAGTTGACATAATGTTATTCAGGCTTCAGACATTTATTTTCCCAGAAAGAATCGATAAACATTTCATCATGTCGAGTTTAGATGAACCGCAATCATCCAAATTGATTCATTTCCCTTGAGTCTCGTTTCATATAGGGATAGTGAAATTGTTGGCATGGTAGTCCACGTTATACTCATTCGAAAGTCTGTTCTTTTTGTCTGTTAGTCGTAACTCTTCACTCTTTTCAGAAGTTCGAAGTTACACGGTGTCGGTTTTATCTTGATTGCTTAACTAGAATACTTCCTCTCTTTTATGTGATGAATGCCAGATGTCCCCCCTCCAGTGCCAGCAGAAGCAGCGCCAGCGGAGGAAATGGAAGATGATAAAAAGGACATCGAAAAAATAACTCCTCGTAGAACCGGTAGGAAGAGGGCTCCTCCCCCACCTCCATTCATCGCTCCAACTCCAAGTCCCAGTGAAACTCAAAAAAGGCAGAAGACAACTAAAGGATCTGCCAAATCTCAAGGATCGGCCAAGTCTCAAGGATCAGCTGAACCTAAAGGATCAGCCAAGCCTAAGCGACAAACTCGCCGGAATGTTAAAGAATCCGCCCCACCCGAAGTTGAAATTCAAGATACAAACGATGGTCTTGATGATGTGTCTTTCTTAGACGATGAAACAGGAAGAGGTTAGAATGTGTTAATATTTAGATTTTCCTGAAATTGATGTTTTGCTTCTTCATTTCATTTGCCTTTTGAAATGGTTGCAGCGGAGTTCGACAACTACCTCAATTCGTTGGATGAGATTCTTGTTCAGGCGCAGCCATCGTCTGAAGAACCAATTTCCGAACAGGCAGAGATGCATAACTTCTTTGCAGCAGAAGGCGAAATGGCTGAAGCTCGAAGGAAACTATCTTCACTTCTCGATATGGATTTCCCTTCATTGATTTGCTTCAAAGACCTCGATGAACTTGCCAGTCTAGCGTCCAAACTCCGGAAGGATCCAACCCTTACTGCCGAACAACTCGTGAAGCTGAAGTTAGTAGAAGAGATCCCAACATTCTGCGAGGTGTTCCTCGAGAATAGGGAAGTAATGGAGCAGGCAGACAAGTTCTTCACAGCCCTCGAGGAAAACAAGGCCAAGGTTAGTTCACTGAAACAAGAATACAGCGGGTTAAAGCAACAGGTGACAAATGTACAGTCCGAGGTAGAGTCCAGCACAACAACCGTGCAAGATATCGACAACCAGATAGCACAACTCAAAGCCCGTCGAGCCGAGCTCACGAAACTGATGGATAAGAAGAAGAGAGACAAGGATGAACTGATATATAACCAGAAGGTGGTAGCAAACTCGATCCCGAAGGTGGTACATGAAGTTCAGATCGCCAATGCCAAAAGACCGGAATGGGAGATAAAGAAGGAGAACGGAGTGAGGCGGGAGGCCGAAATACTCGCGAAATTCGCTCCCCTGAAAGGGTTTTCCCTCTGATCACCATAGGTATGGGGACTAGTGCTTAATTCCTAGAGTAATAATAACCAGTGATGCTTTGGTGTTGAGGATTGTGGTACTTAAAATATAGCTGTAGCAATAGGGAGTTGTTCCCATTGTAATTCTGAGCGGTGAAACATGAGCTCACAGTGTTTGTATTTTAACTTCATTTAGAACTGCTATGGAGATTTTATGAACCTCTTATATTTAAACTTTTAGAATATTTGGAACATTACAATAAGTTTTGGATTCGAACATTAAGTTTGTTGTCAATAATTAAGAAATATTCTAAACAAATATTATTTTGTAATTGTCCAAATAATAAAAAGGTTAAGATAAGTTATACGCTTAGTACATATACTATCAATTTTTGTTTATTTTATTGTCTAAAGTTTCAACTTTTTAAAAATCGTATCTAATGTTTAATTTCTGTTTCATTTTAGTATAGTTAAACTTTTAGCGTTAAGTTTTGAAAAAAAAATATATATGAAAGTTTAGGTATTAAAATGGACTAAAACTGATAGTGTAATATTTTAAAAACCGGGTTAGTGACTAAAATAAAAGTTTTTGGAATTTAGTGATCAATTTTAGAAAAGATTAAAAGTTCATGAATTTTTTTTGGAGAATTTTGGTGTTGGAGTTAATAACAAAGTTTGAAAGTAGAAAGGGTATAATGGTCATTTGATAAGAAAGATTTTTATTTTCCCTTTATACGGGATTTAACCACGTGGAAAGGAATGAAAAATGAAAGAAAAATTTGGAGACTTGGTTATCTTCTTCCTCCCGTGGTTTCAGTGGTAAGATAGCGATCGAAAGCAAAGTCTGGATAATTCGACCAAGTAATAATTATCGAGAAAGAGATAAGAGATTAATATTTATTAGTAAGGCCAGGTGAGTGAATACTAGTTATTATATGATGTTTTAGGGAAATAATACTTGCGACGAGTCTATTTCCTATATTAGAATGCATGAACTCATGAATAAAAGCATGTGCTTGATATGAGTGTATGTATTGTATATTATTATACATGTTATATGATTTGATATGAATGTATGTTAGTGTTATGTATCTATGCGATAAGATATATATATATATATGACAATATGGTCATAAGGAATTGTAAGAATATGTGATATGTGACTATATATGCTACATGATATATGTGAATATAGGAGAACAAATTATAAGCTATATGATATGATATAAGTGATTTCATAAGAAAGTGATATAAGCTATGAGATCATACGAAAATGTTATATGAGCTATGTGATAAGAAACTATGTGATAAGAAGTTATGAGCCTATGAGACATGAATATGTGAAATGATATAAAAGATAATGCCCATGTTATGTGACATGAGAGCTAGAGGTATAGTTGGCATGCCAAAAGTCGAGGGTTTTATGTGGTCCTTCGGGACATATATATAATCCTTTGGAACATATATGCGGCACTGCGGTACACTTATTTGGTCTATTGGAATATGTATGTGGTCTTTCGGGACATATATATTATATGTGGTCCTTCGGGACATTTCTATGTGGTCCTTCGGGACAAATTCACATGCCACTCAGTGGAATTTATACAAGTTGTGGTGACAATATATGTGCACAATATCTATGTACTCACATATCTTTAGTTCTCACATGTACATGGTTTAATAAAGAGATAACAACAAATATATTATATATGATTTATATGCTTTGTGATATGAAATTTGTTACAGGAATTATATGATGATGTGTGTATTGTTTGGTTAAGAATGCTAGGTACAAAAGTATATGACTAAGAGATATGAATGATAATAATATATGATCATGCTAAAAATGTAAATGATGATATATATGTATGTATGTATTTGTTACATGAAAGAGTATATGAGTTGTATGATATAATAGCATAAAACATGCTTGCATTGTTAGGAGATATAAATTGCATTATATGTGTTTAGTATGCCTCACCAAGTCATCGACTTAGCGTGTGAATGTTTCACAATTAGGTTTCGAGAAGATTAAGGAGCAAAGAGGAGCAAAACAGGTCAGCCTCTCATTTCCGATGATCAGATCAGAAAAAAGTATTTTATTAATATGTATGTTGGTATGTTAAATGTAGTTGACATGTACTAAGAGATTTGTGTTGGATATGCTCTGATAGACTTTGTAAAACCAAATATTTTTAATTAAGGTAATTTATTCAGTTTTGATTTTGAAGACACCAAATTTTGTCCTTTAATGTTGTTGCATTATATAATATATGTCCTTTAATGTCGTTACATTATATAATGTATTTACATCATAGGTCATATTATATAAATATATCTATTACATTATTGTTCCCATTGGTTTTACAGGTCCAAAAGCCAAATGCCAACAAGTCAAAACCCAAACAGTGGTTGGCTCAAGTACAAACAACCAAGCTGCCCAACATCACGTGTAGCCCAAACCCGTAGAAGATCAGGGTTTCCAGAAACCCTAACCCCACTCTTACCTCCAGCCGCCAGCAACGGTGGCCGTTGGATCTAGACGAGATCCAACGGTCCATAATGGAGATATTTAGGGTTGTCTCAAACCTTAGCCAAGAGCTTCACCCTAGCGCCACATGGCTTTGTTCGAGAAGCCCTTACGCCTCACGCATCCCAGCTGCTCGGTCAAACATCATCCTCGCGCCTCCCAAGACTGCACGACTCTCGGTCCCGAGATATTCGGAAACAAACAAGAACAATAGAGTTTGATTAGGACTCAAAGTTGTCATTTTTTTCTAGTATAAATACATGTAATCAACAGAGAGAGGGGGGAAGTTTTGGAAATATACGAAACACCAGCAAAATACGAAGGATAGCAATCGAAAGCAAGCATTTTTGTATACTTTGAAACGAGAAATAAAAGGGTAATATTTTTTTTTACCTTCGGTGTTGTTGCTTTACACTTGCATGTGCGGTTTGGTTGTCATTTGCGGTTGATTCAGAGGCCGATGAACATGGGGGTAGAATGGTTTTTTCGAAACTTTGGAGTTCAGATCTACCCCCGAGGCTTCGTTTTTTGAGTAAGCTATTTAGATTTTTGGAACGAGCATACGAAGGGCTTTCAAAAAAACCGAAACTTTTTATATTTTGTCGCCGGCGAGCGGCGGTCGGCGCCAGTAGCGACGGCCAGAATCTGAATTTGGCGGCGGCGTTCATGTGTTCATCAAGAACACATGAACCGCCCAGAGAAAGGAAATGTTGCTTCGGTGGGTTTGAGAACAAAATGAAAGTTAAAACAAAACTTTAACTTAAATACTCGGCCCACGCCCGACCCAGCCACCCGCGCGCGACCTGTTTTGCACCCTTGGATCCGCGCGTTTTCAGAAATAAAAGGGGTAATCCCGTATTTGGTCCCTCTTCGCTTCACTCACTCTATTTTAACCCGAAAATTATTTTTTAAAACCCACTTCTTCTTAATTTGGCCACCTAACTTACTTTTTAATTCAATTGACCCTTATATTATTATTTTTATTTTATATTATTTATTTTATTGTATATGCGTATATATATATATTTATTTAATATTTTATTTACCTATTATTAATATATATACATATTAATTATATTTATTTGGTTATTTTTCTTTTTTAGTACTATATTTTATGATATTGTATATATATATATTTCTATTAATTTTCTATTTTTTTATATTACCATCATACTATTCCTATTTTTCATTTTTTTGTTATGTATATTTTATCATTATCTGTATATTATTATTATTATTACTCTTTATTTTATTTGTGTTATTTATTTCATTCATTTTTACCTTTACGTTATTTTTATTTATCTTTTTATTTTGTATTACTTTCTTTACTTCATTCATTTTTTTTGTGTTTTCTTTATTACCTCCTTTCATTTTTTCTTTTCTTTTCTAACACATTCTTTGACTTTTAAAGGATACGTTTTCAATCAATCAGAGTTAAGCAATCAGAATCGTTATTTTACCTTTTAGGTTAAACTTTCAATTTTCTTAATTAAAGACAACTGAAAATTATGTAGTACCGAAAGGACAGTTCAAGGGTGCTAATCCTTCCTTGACTGTAATCGACTCCCGAACCCGACACATTTCTGGTACAACGCAGATCAGGTAAGATGGTGTCCGACCCACCTAAATTCATTTTAAAGTGGTCGGTGGCGACTCCAATCCACATTTTTCAAGTCGAAGCCCAATTTTGGGGCCCAATCGAAAGACGGTTGCGACAAATTTAAATGTGAAATTGAAATTTTTAGCTATTTTGTAAAAAGAAACGGTTTGAAAAGTCAATGTAACTCCTCGGACTCGTATTCGGGTTGAATACGGGTTGAGGTGTTATAGATAATTTATGTACTAAACATGTTAAGTTTCTAACGATGAGCTATTAAAATGAAACAAAAACTATGTTAGGTATGATTATGAAAAATTGGAAGTCCAAGTACTATAATGAATCAAACCAATAATTATGTAATAAATATGTAATTTACCCAAAAATATTGCAAGCGTCACTGATTAACTTATAATTCAAGTAAATGATACTGTAAAAATATTACGAAATTTCTAAAATTAATTATACTAAAATTTTATCATATCCATTTTGCGGGTAAAAGTATTTTTAAAATTTATAATGTAAGAAGAAATTCACTTATATTTAAAAAAACTAAGAGATTAATTTTTATAAATATTAGTTATTTATCATATAAATAATATTAAATTATTATTATAATATTATAAATTTATATTTATATTTTATATTTCAATTTTACGTATTTTTTCTGACTATTGAAGAAAAATATTTTATGTATGAAAATTATACATTAAAAAGTAGAAAGACATATGCATGTAAAATTTTATATTTGAAAAATACATAAATTACAATTGATTATAGACGGAGTAGTGAAATGTTTTTATATAAATTTCTGATAATTTATTTGAATTTTAAAAAATATTTTTTATTTATACAATTTTGAAATAATAATAATATTTATTATATTTATAGATAATCTTATTTTTTTAATTGAATCAGCGAGAAAACTGACCCAATCTATTTAAGCCCCGTGAATAAAATGCTTAATATCAAAACAAGTGTCTAAACTATACCATTTTTCCGAATATGTGCTTAAAATATTTTTTTACTTATCCAGGTGCCTAATGTTACGAACGTTAATATTTTAGGTACTCAAACCATCAACGGTGTTAGTTTTTCCCGTTAAGTGATGTGTCACAATCTGTGATTTTAAAATTTGTTTTAAAAAATTAAAAATATTATGATATTTATAAAAACACTAACTTTTCTTAAACTATATAACAGTCACAAAATCTCTAAAATCCCCAAATCCTGACCTTTACCTGCCGCAGCCGCCCTTTCCGGACACAACCATCACTGTTGACGTAGTCCATATTATTCTCCTAATCATAAGCCGCCGTAGTTACCATCGATTGACCGTCAAAATCATGTTGGATCATGATTTTCATTATAGGGTTCGCAGAGTATAACACGCCGATTTGTCACCGATCGATCATGATTCCATAGAGATTTTGTCGCCGGAGGAAGTGAGATCGAGTGGAACTTCGTCAATAATAAAGGCTGGCCGTTTGTGTGGGTTTAGAAGTTGAAAGGAATGTTTTTAAATTTTAGGCTTATTCAAAATTTTTATTTATTTTTAAATGTATAATTTTTATTTTTTAATTTTAAATAAAATTTTTAAAATCACCAAATTATGACATATGTCACTTAAAGAAGAAATTAATGATATTGATGATCTGTACACTTAAAATGGTAATATTTTTATATTAGACATCGCAATTAGTTAAACAATATTTTATATACTTATTCGAGAAAAACAATATAATTTAAACACTTAATTTTTCTTAATTTTGGTATTAAGCGTAAATAATTAAAAAAACGAGTATTACATGGAACACCAAATTGTAATAATTTATGAAGAAATCGATTAGCTGCTAAACATCCCAAACCTCGATGTCTGTCAGCTTGTAATTCCGGGAATGAGAGCTCTCAAAAGATCAAAATTTTCAATCTTTTGATCCCTTTGGGTGCTTTATTTTTGTAGGTCAAACTAGGATTTTTGTTCATGGTGCCCATTCCTTCTCCTCGTATGGGTATTCTTCCTCCTACTAATAACCCTACCGACTTGGGTATTCCGCACACAGATATCCATCAAGATCTGTTTCCAGAGTAAGTTTTAAGTTTTTGGTTTCATTTCTTCACCCAATTGCTTGTTTCAGTGTTTTTGTTTGCTCATTTTTTTCTTACATATTTTGCTGTTGGGTGAGTTTAATCTGATGATGATGTCTGACGAGAATTTGGGTTTGTAATGTACTGTTAGAACATGCAAAAGACACTAGCGAGCATGTATGTAAGAAACAATTTTATGTAAGAAGTTTTAGAAATGTAGGGGGTGTGATCTGTGAAATTGCAAAATTTATGGGTGCATAGTTAGATCATCAAGGGAGAACTCAAAGTAAATACCTAAAAATGAGAATTTGAAATGTTCAGGGGAGCAACCGCACCCCAGCATCCCCTCGATCCATCCCTGGATGTTTAGTTGTTTCGGTGTATGTTGCTCCTATTCTTCATTTTTGATAATCATGTTCTGATACGGGTGTCTTATATAGCCCCTCAAATACATGGAAATTGGACAAACCCTTGTGGGAAATGTACTTATATCCGACACTCGCAGCTGAGTCCGAGTAAGATACTAGCTTCATTGTATGTTCCTATGAATTTCGGAGTAAAGATGCAAATTTATCCCAATTTGCAGTTATTATGCTGGACCAGCTTCCACTCCGTGTGAGCCGGAACACAAAATTCCGGGGGGACAATATAATGGAGGTAACCGTTGTGCTTCTGTAATTAAAGAGAATAATTCCCTTCCACAAGTTCCGCCTGGTAGTAGTGGAGAAGGATTACCTTATGCACCTATGCATTGGCCAAATGTGGGTGATATTTGGAGCTGGAGAGTGGGGAGGAAGGTCAGCAGTTATGGCTTCTATAGCGATAGATATCTCAAAGTTCCGGAAAGTCTTCGAAAGCCAAATGCCTCGAAAATCTTTTCAAGCAAGCCAGCACTTGAACGTTTTCTCCAGTCCGATTTCCCGGATGCAGATGCTAGCACGTTCTTTGCTTCATTTATTTGGAAAATTCCTGCCGTTGTGTTGCTTCCTTATTCATTTTGTGAGTAAATTTGATTTATAACCCTTTTTCTTTCCCCTTTTTTGGTAGGAAGAGATTTAGAATGCATATTTGATTATATAATACTTAGCATCTAACCATAGAACGTTTGCAGGGTAATTCGGATCGAATGAGTCAAATATTTAGATTCCATATTTTTCTTTAGTTTATAACTTGGGTTGCAGACCTTGATATATCATTTATACGTCTTTAAACCCCTCCGGTCCTTATCTGAACTCATATGTTGGTTACAATTACGCATGATTGATGTTCTTAGGAACTTTTAACCGCATGGCTTGTGAATGATATAGCACTTATAGTTAAGGGTGTAGCACGATAATTGTTGGCACTCAGATGTTGGTTACAATTACTATTTTCTTATTGTTTCTTTTTCTTATGTGTTTTATCTTGTTCGTTTAGAATAAAACTTCGTTTCTCAACGAAGTTGACATGCCGCAATGTACTCTTGAAGACGTTCTCTGAAAGAATCCATAACCATTTAATCATGTCAAGTTTGAATGATGTGCAATTTATATGCATTGATCCAATGGCCCCTCGTTCTTGTTTCATACAAGGATAGGGAAACTGTTTTTTTCTGATAGAGAGACCGGGAAACTGGTGAGATAGTCGTCCACGTTATATTCATTCAAATGTCTTCGGGTTTTTGTGTTTATTAAACATAGTTCTTTACTCTTCTGGGAAGTTTGAAGTTACATGATGCTTGTTTTCTCCTGATTGCTGAACTAAAATACTTCTTTTATGTGGTGAATGCCAGCTCCCACGCATTCAGTACCAGCTCAAGGAATGGAAGATGGTAAACAACAAATTAACAAATAACTCTGCACACAACGGAAAGGAAGAGGCCTCCCCCCTCTTCCCCGTTAAGTACTCTGAGTTCCATTGATGGCAAAAAAATGCAGAAGACAACTAAAGGATCAGCCAAAACTAAGCAGCAAACTCACCCACGACTTACAGATTCCGCCCCACCCACATCCATAATTGAAGATACAAACGGTGATCTTGATGCGTCTTTCTTAGACAATGAAATGGGAAGAGGTTAGAATTTGGCATGTATACATTTTCCTGAAAATGGTTCTTTGTTCCTTCCTTTTATTTGCCTTTTGAAATGGTTGCAGCTGAGTTCGACAACTACCTCAATTCTTTGGATGAGATTCTTGTTCAGCCTTGGTTTCAAGAACCATTTTACCATATGGAAATGATGGCTGAAGCTCGAAAGAAACTATCTTCGCTTCTCGATATGGATTTTCCTTCATTGATTTGCTTCAAAGACCTTGATGAACTCGCAGCTCTAGCATCCAAATTTCAGAAGGATCCTACACTTACTGCTGCACAACTTGTGAAACTGAAGTTAATAGAAGAGATTCCAACATTCGCAGTCGCGTTTCTTGAGAATAGGGAAGTAATGGAGCATCCATAAAGCATGGATTCACCTATTGAGTTGTTAACATCATTCAAGACAAGAATATAGATGCTTCTAAAGTAATGTACTTGTGATTGTGAAAGAATCTTTTCCTTTCGCAAAAAAGCAGCAACCCTACCACAATCAAAATGTCATGCTACAAAAGTAGCTCAAGGGGAAAATAGTGTCTCAAAATTTTATTACTTAAATACCAAGTACATCAGAAGTACATTCCAAATATAACCAAACTATCACCTCAACATAGACCAAAGCAATCTGCAGAAACACCACAAAGACCAATCCCAGCTCAGTAATTCTGATTTGGGAGAAAACACGGAACATCGATACATAATACATATACCGTGCAAGTATGCCATACTCGTATTGAGATATACGACAAACATGGATGCCAAATACAGATTTGCAAACTATGTCCATCACCCTGGTCCTCCCCCACCACACCTCCAGGGCATGGGGACCAAAAGGTTAGGTGCTTCAACAATAACCCCACAGATATTCTGAATAACTGAAACTGACTTTCTGTAGGAGGCTAGAAGGATAGGTTTATGTCAACTTCGGAAGAAATGCATGATATGTTCCGATTCCGGAAAGTGTTGCAGTAAATTAAGATGAGGATGCAGGTTCAGCAACCAGTGGCAATCATACAATGAATCAATATGAAGTATATAATGGCAAGAAAAAGAGGAGATAAAGATGTCACAATTGTCTTTTTGGATCAATGAATTGTTGACCAAAAGGCAAAGATTGATAACAATTTGACATTATGAATCAACAAATGGACTTTCTTTAAGATTACTTAAAAAGAAAGAAAGATATCAACAAAAAGACTCATCATAATATGAAAAAGAATGAATGTATGAATGAATCAAAGACCATGTGGACCAAAAGCATAGATTCTTTACCACTGAGCAAGAAAGGGAATCAATTCTCAACATCAGCACCCCAAAGTTAAACTTGTTGCTTTACCATGTTTATGGTTGAGTTTCAACCAAGGATGCAAACAGGAAAATGCTGGTTCGTAAAATGCCACAAATCTCAAAGACGAAGACCGGAAAGCAATCATTTAGGTAATCACTACCTTCCAATGCTAACAAACATGTTATGCATATGATGTTAACAAACAAAAACATACCCAAAACAATCCGCACTCCGGCCTTTAACAGCTTCCCATATGCCTAAATATGAGATGATAACCGAGAAGACCTCAACTTCAACCAGTTTATGCCGATCCTCATTTCCACTAAAAATAAAACAAAAATAAGGAGAAAAAAACATCCACAGCCATGCTTATGATCATTTTCACATGGATAAGAGCTTATGCAAAGCATGTACTTTCCATGAACATATCAAAATCTTAGACCTTTCCTGATATACACAAACATGAACTTAAAAACAACCATTTTTACTGCAAATCATAAAGCCAGCTTCATCCTCTACTAAATATTCTATTAAATATCATAGAGATTTGATTAAGCAATGACATTCTCCATCATTCAAAGAGCAATTCTTGATTTGATTAAGCAAAAATAAAAGGTAGCCATACAAAAAAAGGATTAAGCTCCACCAGTGAGCTTGAAAAACTAAAATGAAAACAACATGCAATTAAAGTAAAATCGAGGCAAATGATTCCATTGTTATTACTTACTGTACTAGAACAAGCCTATTATTATTGCTATTACCATTTCCCATTCCTCGTTCATCCACTTCTCCTCCCTTCGGCACCGTCACAATCAGCTCTCCGTCCTCGTAAACCGCACTAGCAAGCTCCGGACGAGTGGTCTCCGGCAACCTGAACCGCCACATGTCAAGCTCCAAATCATCCAGCAAACCGAAATCCACCAAACTGTCGGATCTTATCACAATCTTAGTAACCCCGGGATGGATTTCGACGGTATGAGCCCTGACGACGTCGCCGATCCTCCCATCGGTTTCGACTACGAACTTGAAGCAGTTGGGATTCTCCTCCACCGCCACGTCGGCATCGGACCTAAAAGGCAGCTCGAGGACGCGGCTGAAGATGTGGGGCAGCCTACGGAGCTTTTTGTTGGACACACCACCGCCGTTCAACAAGGACTCAGCTTGGGACCTTGCGGTCCTCGGGTTCATCACATATTGGATTGTAATGTTCCTCCTCTTCGGCAAAGGGTGGATTCTCATAGTGCTGGGTTTCTGGGTTTTTTCCCCCAACAAAGATTTGACCTTTTCGAAGTGAAGGCAAAGGAGGAAGCTTGGAACAAGATTAATAGTAACAACAAAAACGAAGATAGAGATGCTTTCTCGGAGAAAAGTGAAGAAATTCGGAAAGGAATCAAAATCCTGATCAAGTTGTGGAGTGGAAAAGGTGAAAACATAAAAAGCAATGGCGTCAATTCATCAAATTTCTCTCTTTTTCCTTTCGGAAGATCTGGACAACACCTTCAAAAGGGTTACGGGAGGAAACTAAGATAGAAGGAATGATTATGAGAACAATTAGTTCTTTGAGATTGAGTGCGGAAAAGGGTAACCAAATTTCGGGTGAATTTGATTCCTTTTTGCAAGAACTGGGAAATTTATTTTCTCGAGAAACGTAGAAATCTGGCTTTTTATTTAAGTGTTTGCAGGAAAAAAACATATACTTAAGCCCTGTTTGTTTACTTGATTAAGCGTTGAATGATTTAAATGTTGAATGATTTAGAGACTCTGAATGATTTGGTTCTGAATGTGACATGTTATTTGATAACTGGTTCTGAACGATTCAAAATGTACTTATGTGCTGAATCATTCAGTACTGTTTTACTGAATTAGTCAACACTGAATCATTCGGAAGTGCGAAACAAACGCGCTGAATGTTGAACGGTTCAGCATTCAACGCTGAACGGTTCAGCATTTAACGCTGAATGATTTCATTAAGAGACAAACAAACAATCCCTTAGAGCCATTGGATAAATTATGGGAAGTTTGTCCTACATCAGCCTTAATATAATGTTAAGTAAATGTGTTATCAGAAATGTTATTATTTTTTAATATTTTCGATAAAAATTATCTAAAATATTATTTTTTTTCCTAAAATATTAATGTTTTTTTTAATATTTTTTGTAGAAAAAATAATATTTTATATAATGTTTTATTGGATATGTTAACAAACTCGATAAAACGTCTAATAATAATATTTTCAGTAAAAATAATAATATTTTAAGTAATTTTTATCGAAAATATTAAAAAAATAATAATATTTTCAGTAACATATTTCCTTAATCGTATATTAAGTTGTCGCACGTAAGACATTTCCATAAATTATAGGCGCAAAATAGAATACAAAGAGACTAGGTTTTGGTTAATGGTCCCTTAATTCTAGAAAATTTACATATCAACCCCACTGCCTTTTATTTTCTTTGTAAGGACTGCTATTTAGTGATTATTATTAGGAACGATCACGAGATTCGAATCTAACAGTTTTTGACTCTATAAGGTTAATATTTATAAAAAAAATTGTTTTAAGTTAGGCTGATTCACATTTCGAGTAATTTCTTTAACTAATAATATAATTGTTCCTTATATGTTTAAGAATAATTGTAATAATATATCTTTATTTATATATTTTTAACTAACTACCTATTTTACATAATAAAAATAATATATATATCGGATCAAATGTAAATTTTCATCTTAAAATCATATCGAATTTCAAATCAAATTTCTAAATTCAAATCAAATCAAAAGATAAATAAAAGTATAATACCTAATTCGAGTTTAAATATTTCAAAACTCGTCCCTAATTATTTATCCCTAACACTTCAATCCAATTAAATTCATCACATGGGTGAATTTTTTTGAAAGATAGGATTTTATTTTACTTTAATGTATTTAATATATATCTTATGATTAATGTTTTAAGTTTGTATTTTTTTAATAATAATATTTTTAAAATTTAAATATAAAGTATTATTAAAATTAGATAAATAATGTTATTAAAATAAATATAATTATTTTACCAAAAAATAAATAAAAAGTATTAAAATTTAATTTAACTTTAAAGTTATGAGAATTGTCTGTCCAGCTCAGTTGGTTAGAGCGCAAAGCTCTTAACCTTGTGGTCATGAGATCGAGTCTCACGGTGGGCAATTCAAAATTTTGACTGTCGGAGGTCTCCCACGGAAGTTGCTCTCAACCTGGCGTTAGGGGCATCCTACTGTCCTACCTCCCCTTATCCCATTACACATGGGAATAGGGTCATCTAATTTATGAATTGTTTGTCCAGCTCAGTTGGTAGAGCGCAAGGCTCTTAATCTTGTGGTCGTGGGATCGAGTCCCACGGTGGGCAATTCATAATTTTGATTGTCGGAGGTCTTCCACGGAAACTGCTCTCAACCTGGCGTTAGAGGCAACCTACTACTCTACCTCCCCTCACCCCATTACATATAAGAATATAGTCAACTAATTTTTTAAAGTCGTGAACATTCCGTACTTGCTATAAGGATTCAGAAAGTTATGCAAACAAGGACAGGGGGCGAAGGTGCAATGATCTTTCCAAAAAAAAGGATATGGGTTTCATTATAGGGTAAATTTCACTTTTAGTACCTAAATTATCATTTTTAATCTATTTTAATACTTAAATGTTTAATTTTTTAAATCATGTCTAACGTTTAGTTTTTGTTTTAGTACCTTACCGTAAAAATCTTAACGCGTTTCCAAAAAACAGGATATAAGTTTCATTATAGGGTAAAATTTACTTTTAGTACTTAAATTATCAGTTTTGATTTGTTTTAGTACTTAAATGTTCAATTTTTTTAAATCATGTCTAACGTTTAGTTTTTTTTTTGTTTTAGTACCTCACCGTAAAAAGCTTAACGCGTTTCGTACTTAAACTATCAATTTTTGTTCGTTTAATTTCTGGTTTCATTATGGGTTTTATTTATATCTTACCAAAAAACAGGATATGGGTTTCATTATAGGGTAAATTCTACTTTTAGTACCTAAATTATCATTTTTGATATGTTTTAGTACTTAAATGTTCAATTTTTTTAAATCATGCCTAATGTTTAATTTTTGTTTTGTTTTAGTACCTCACCGTAAAAAGCTTAACTCGTTTCGTAAGTAAATTATCAGTTTTGGTTAGTTTTAATACCTAAATTTAAAATTGGTTTATTTTAGTACCTAAACTTTAAATTATTTTCAAAATTTAACGTTAAGTTTTTAACGGTTGTACTAAAATTAAATAAAAACCAAACATTAGGTATGATTTTTAGAAATTTTAACCTTCAGAAAGAAATTTTTAAGATTTAAGATTTTAAGTTTATTCTTTTAAAAGTTTATTTTAGCTTTTGTCCGGGTATATTCTTATTATCTGTTCATCCAATACTTACTAATGGTTGAAATTCATTTAGGGTGTAGATGTTAATTTTTTAAAAGTTCGGTTAATGATAAATTTGATTAAAAAAATCACAGATTTGATGTTCTCAAAAGTGATGGATGCTATTATGAGGCTAATCACAGTTGCGGCATGATTGTTAGCTGCTTTTAAGACTTTATCCGCCTGTAGAAGCACCCAACGCTCAGTTGAGAAAAAAGGATCATACTTTAAGCTTGTGATAAATCATTTAACATTGATGCAATCGTGTTTCAGTGATGTTCTGCATTTTTGGTTCAAATCTGCAATCCATTCCTTCAAAGCCAAAAGCATGCCTTTTAACGTGATCATGTTAAGACGCAAGAAAAAAAGGGAAATAAGAAGAAAAAAAATATGGTTTTGTAGAATGTCTGGTTGGTGTTTGATAGAATGTCTGATCGAGAATATTGATGCATGGAGTAGTATCATAGATGGACGTCGATTTTGCTAGTAATTTTCTAAATATTTTGTTGAGTAGTACCACCTTGTTCATTTCCGAGTTTTGGATGTACTAGCTTCGGGAATACTGTGTTAAGCTTGGGGAACGTGTTCATTGTAGCTATTACGCCAATCCGTCCGACTTTGCATCTAAGGCAATAATTTACTACGATACAGTTTGCAAATTCCTTTTCAATTTTTTTTATTATTGTTGTCCTGTCAGTATTAACTTTTCGATTTTGTAGTACTATATCCAACATTTGGCGGTTCACTTCTTTTAATTTGGACCAAAAGTCGCGAATATAGTGATCGATGACCATGAGCATGGTGGATGTTTGAGATTATAGATGAACGCTCTGGTGATGAAAGAGCATCTGATGGGAGTTACTGGACATAGGTCGACTGCATTATTCGAAAAGATAGTTCTGTTATAGCTATGTATGCAAGTTGTGGTTGCATGGATATGGCTCCGCAATTGTTTGGTCACGTGACACCGTTGTAATGGTTTCGGGGTGTTCGATGCACACAAGTTGAGGATGCTTGACACCGTTGTAATGATAATGTGATCGAACTCGAGAATATTTTTTGATAGTTTGGGCAGAACGCCTTAGGAAGGAAACCTGATCAGGTAAAATTTCTGAGTGATATACTAGTTTATGTGCATCTTGCTGTATTAGATAACCGAATGGATACTTGTATGTGTTGATATGAACGGTTTTGGAGGATCTTTGCCTATTGATAGTGCTGATTGGAACGCGTTTTAAATGTGGGAGTTTAGAAAGAGCGAGAGGAGTTTTTGAGAAAATGACAAGAAGAAATGTAAAATCTTAGATCAGTATGATCGACATACTTGGTATAGATGGGGATCCCAATAATGCTCTAGGCTTCTTTCACGAAATGAGAGAGGCCATGTTGAGTCCATTAATGAGTGTGCTTCATGCTTGTAGCCATTTTGCATCCATGATCCCTCCTAAATCTGAACTTAACCATGCATGATCAGTGGTTTCTTCCATGCTAACCTCGAGTGTAGTTGTCAAGATTGTAGTGAAAAAACTGCCTTTGGTACCTATTGTTGTCATTTGGAGATCCCGAATGGCTGCTTGTCAAATTCTCGTGAGACTGAATTAGGATCCAAATTGTTATGGCATCCTTGTAGTATTACCAGACATTTATGCCAAAGGAAGTGGAAAGATATTGGGATTTGAGGCCATTAATGAAAGAAAGAGGTATATCTAAGGAAAAGGCTTGCATGAGTTTTTAGTGGCAGATAGGAATTGAAACAAACACGAGCTGGTTATTGAGTTGAAGCTTCTAGGTTATGCTCCTAATCCCCATAGTTTGGCATAGTGAGAAATTAGCACTCGGTTATGTGCTCATCAATGGGGGAAACCTATGTTACTCGGATGTATTGGATAGTATGTGTCTGTCACGGGTATTTTCAGGTTTTTCTAAGTTTTTCCATGTGCCGGCCAATGGTACTTCATCTCTTGACCCTTTCTTCTGGTTTTTTATCTTAAACACAGAAATTCTACAATGGTTAAGTATTCTCTGCGATTGGATGTTGTATCCATTAGGAAGAACATGATCCTTCTTCGAAATTTTGTTATCTTGCGGGATAATATAACTCATGCCCTTGGACACTTGTGTATTGAAAGGTACATAAGTTGAGATTGCATGATTCTAGTGAATATTTTGCTTAAATCCTAATTGCCTTCATCAGAAAGCATCCAATAATTGATGTACTAGAAAACACTAATCTGTTTCTTCTTTCACTGCATACCTAGAATCTGATTCCATGTCATTGGTTGACTGTTTAGGCATGGAACCCTCTAAAAACCAAGTATAAGGTTGACCGATCTATAACTGATTTAGTGAATCACATGGAACATGATTAAGTTAGTTCCCTAACTGGTTGAGGATGCCTGCTTAGGACACTTAAATTCTGTTATTAAGCAAAATGATCCCATTAGATTTTTCTCTTGCATGTTTTCAAGAAACATGTGATGGGTGTTTTATGATGGTACAAATTGTGATCAATAGTCTTGCATCTGTTTACATCGATGGCCTAATGTGGGGTACTTGATGCTTCCAACTTGTGTAGAACATTTGTCTTAATCCGAGAACATGTCAATAACACGTATCGTACATCTTACGATGATATGGTTTAAGATTTAGGGCTTCATGTATATGTAGAAACTTATCTGATTATATATTCCTATCACCATCAAGATCATGGAAAGGCTTTGCATCTTATTGCAAAGAACACTTTACTTTTTCAAAATAAGGTTACTGCTTGTAGTGGGAAATTAACCATAATTTAGCCCAAATTATTGAACCATATGGAAATAGTGTTGGTTTAAGTCTTTTCTTGTGTAGTGGAAAGTTGTTCTTTACTGCTTTATTACTGAAAAGTGCAGATTTGTTGCTGATTTTCACTGTCTGAGAATCAACCAAGCCAATAGCTCATTCTCCATTGTCAAATTCCTTGTTCATTACCCAAGAATTCATCAGCATGGGGAAGAAAAACCAATAACTATAAACAAATGTCACTGAAAAAAATTAAAGAAAATTGTGTTTTGCTGGATGTTTGAATCAAAGTTAAGATCTTGCCAAAATAAAATAAAAAAACCCTTTTTCTCCCTCTTTGAACAGGAAAAGAAAAGATGCGAGGAAAATGCACACCACATATCAACTTTGAGGTAAGAAAAGAAAAGAAAAACCAGAGAGGAAGAACCTACACAAAACTTCATTGAGATAACATCTCCTGCACAAAACAAGTTGTCAATGATCGTTCATGTAGATGTGCAGATGTGCTACTGTAGCTGATCATTAGTTGGACTCGAGCTGTAACATCCTCAATATCGGGTTAGTGATCAAATTGTAAAGTTTCACAATTTGGTGACTAGAGTAGAACCATGGATTAGTTCAATGATTTATTTGGAAATAAATCATAAAAGTTGTTAGTAATTATTAGATGAATTGAAGGGCAAAAGGGTCATTTGACAAGGAAGATTTTTATTTTCCTTATAAGATAAGGAAACCATGTGGGAAGAGAGAAAATGTTCTAGAATTCTCTTCTCTTCTCTTCTCTTCTTCCTTCTTCATACGTGAAGGCTTGAATCAAAGGTGAGTCTTCTATTTAGATAATTTTTGGATAAATTTAAGGTTGGGTTATGATCAGTATATGACAACTAAGCTTAAAGAAAGCTTAAGTTATCTTAAAATCAAAAGATAAAGGAGTTAGGGAAGATTAAAGATTTGGAGTTCTTGAGTGAAATATTGAAATAGAGTTTATAATAAGAATTGAAAGTTGAATTTGACTTGCCATCAATAAGAATAAGAGATTTATGAAGTTAGAAAGGATTAATAACAAAGTTGAAAGTTTAGCAAGATTCTTAAATTTTAAGAATCATGATGAGATATGGAAGATAAAGATGGTTTATATGGATATAAGTTGGTTTAGGTAATGGTAGTTGAGTTTAATGACATGATAAGGGCTTAAAATAGAAGAATTGAGTGAAAAGTTGATGGTTTTCGGGCTTAAAATGCAAATTCTGGGCAAGGTGTATCGATGCACATTCATTGTGTATCGATGCACTCTTTAAAGAAGAAACATCGAATGTAATTAGTGCACCGATGCATAAGGAGTGCATCGATGCATAAGGAGTGCATCGATGCACCCCCTTAAAATGAAAACATCGAAGGTGATTGGTGTATCAGTGCATGGGTAGTGCATCGATGCACATGTTAAAGAATGCGTCGATGCATTGTAGAATGTATCGATGCACTTAAAGGGGAAATTGAAATAGACATTTCTTTTGGTCTAAGAAATGATAGATTAGAATATATCAATTGGATACTGATATGTATCAATGTATAATTATATAGATATCGAGCACGAACAAGTTCCGGAACGATTATCAAGTTAAGATTCGATCGGAAAAAATGAAATCATAAAAGTGGATTGGAACTTAGTGAGGCCCAGATGAGTGCATATTATTTAGTATATGATGTTTAATGGGAAATAAGACTTGCGACAAGTCTATTTCCAATAGAAAAATGCATGAATTTCTAGATAGATGCATGTTTTGCTATGGTTCATATGTGTGCATGAGTCGATGTGGTGACATATTATTATATATGTTGCATGATTATATATGTTAACATGCTTTTGTATTTAATGATATAAGAAGTATGTGCTATGTGATGTATATATATGAACATATGTGAAACTGAACTATGTGATTGCATGAGAAAGATATGAGCCATATGACATGATATATGTTAACATGGGAAAACAAATTGTAAGATATGAACTATGTGATAATATAAAAAGAAGCTATGTGACTACATGTATATGTGAAAGAAGTTATGAACTTATATGACATATGATATGAAAGTGTATATGTAGAATGATATAAGTGAAAATGTCAATGTTATATGATACGAGAGCTATAGGTATAGTTGGCATGCCAAGAGTCGAGGGTCTACGCGGTCCTTCGGGACATACACTGATCCTTCGGGATATTTCATAGTAGTCCTTCGGGATAAAATTTCATAGCCCCTAGTGGGACCCCTTACGAGCTGTGATGACAACATAGTGTACAACCTCAATAGACTCACATATCTACAGTTCTCACAGGTGTACATGGGTTAATAAGAGATAACATTGAATACAATGTATGTGATATATATATATGTTTTGTGATATGAATTATATGATATGATATATGTGTGTTAATGATTATTGTATATGTTATAAGATATATGATATGAACATAATAGATCATATAAACAAGAGAATAGAAATATGAATGGTAATAAGATGATAATGATAGTAAATAAGATAATTATATGCATGTGTGGATTTGATATATGAATGGATATATGTTTGGGTATGATGTGATAGCAGTAATTATTCATGCATGATTACAAGTTATAGTTTACATTATATATTTATTTTCTCACTAAGTCATAGACTTAGCAAACCTTCGCTACCATAGAAAATCCCCTTATAAACCTTCGACAATAGCCTACCAAACCCAGAAAACTATGGACCTCAACGATGTTTTTAAGTTGTTTTCAGTTCATAATAGCCTTAATTTTTTTCGGATCAACAAAATTACCTTTAGCAGAAATAATGTAACCCAAGAAAATTACTTCGCTAAGCCAAAATTCACACTTAATAAACTTTAGATAGAGTTATTTTTCCTTCAAAGCGTGTATAACAATCCTCAAATGCTCATTGTGCTCAGTCTCAAACTTCGAGTAAATTAGGATATCATCAATAAAAATAATGATAAACTGATCCAGATATGGTTGGAATACACGGTTTATCATATCTATGAAAGCAACAGGGTCATTAGTTAACCCGAACAACATCGGTAAAAACTTGTGATTACCATATTAAGTATGAAAAATAGTCTTCAGAATATCAAAATCTTTCACCTTAAGCTAATAATAGTTGGACCGAAAATCAATTTTAAAGAAAATAATTGCACCTTGGAACTGGTAAAATAAATCATCAATGTTTAGTAATGGGTATTTGTTTTTAATTGTTAGTTTATTCAGTTTTTGATAATCAATGCATAGGTACAATGATCCATTCTTTTTCTTAACAAAGAGTATAGGGCTTCCCATGGAGAGGTATTAGGTTGAATAAAACCTTGATCCAACAACTGTTGTAACTGGACTTTCAGCTCTCTCAATTCCTTAGGTACCATGTGATAAGGTTCCATGGACAAAGGTGTTGTACCTAGATACAATTCAATTCTGAACTCTACTTCTCTTTTAAACAGTACACCCGATAATTCTTTTGAGAATACATCCCAAAAAATATCTCATAGTACGAATATGTTTAATTCCAGAAATAAACTTTCTTAAATCTAGGATATAAGAAAGGTATACTACAGTATCATCCCAAATCATTTTCTTAGCTACCAAGGCTGATATCACATTAGATAGATAACCTCGATGTTTACCTGTAACAACAACATCTCTATTATCAGAAGCCTTCAAAATAACTCTTTTGCATTTATAATTTAGATTAACAAGATGTTCTTTCAGCCAATCGATACCTAGAATAAGTTCAAACTCATTCAATGCGATATCCACAAGATTTTCCAAAAAAGTCTTCTTACAGAACTCACAACGTATGAATGGTTAGACCCGCCATCAAGTAAAGCAAAATAATGAATAGAATGAATGATAAAAGCAGACAACGATGTTTGGCTTATCCCGATCTTCACGATACCTTGCAGTATAAACAAGAGCAAGTTAGTATTTGACCTCACAGAACCTCTACCCTCGACAAATTGCCCCATACTCGAAGAACCCAATGCATGACCATATGAGGTGGGTCGAATATAGCTACGACCCATCGGTGTATGAAATGATCCCTAAGAACGAGAAGCAGTATGATATGTTAGAGCATGATATGTTAGAGCATGTTATGTAAAATCTCTCAAAAAATGATCAATGAAACCACACCTGAAACACGCTTTTAACTTTTGCAACACTCATCATGCTGACTACTACAATAAATAAAGGTAGGAATAACTCTTTTTGTAGAAAAAAAATCCCTACTCTCAGACTGACCAGAAAAAACAACATGTCTAGACCTATAACCAAATCTTGAAGTGTCATCCTTCAAATACTTCATAGGACGAGCAGAAGAACCAAGTAAAGCCTCAGAATCAAACTTCTTACTTTTACAATTACGTTGCTCCCTACTAAGATATTTTATCTCCTCTATAGTCTTAGCTCGGTCCACAAGCTTAACAAAGCCCCTCTCATGATGGGTAGCTATCATACTATGTATCCCAACACGTAAACTCTTCTCAAATAGTAAACATTTTTCTTCCTCAGTAGTGATAAGTCTAATAGCATACTTACTGAGACGTAAAAAATCTAACTCGTAATATGAACTGACATATCACCTTACGTCATATCCATAAATTCTTATTTATACTCTTTTAGATAACGACTACCCACAAACTGACTTTGAAAAACACTCTAGAAAAACTCATAAGTCAATTGATCCCTCGGGGTAGTCATCTTCACTGAATTTCAACAACTCAGGGCATCATCATTCGGCAGTGAAACAATAACCTAAAATATTTGATCTATCGGATAATCTATCTCATTTAGAATACGCTTAGTATCCTCAATCTAGTACTCCCTAACTGACGAGGATGCTTGAGTAAGCCCTCTAAGGTACTATACCCATTATAAAACATAGTCGACGAAACAGTAATGACAATGTCCTCTAGCTGAATCCCATCAGATCTCTAAAATAAACGCAATATTGCTTGACTAACAGTAGCATCCTTTAAATTATATGTGGATCTACCTCCAGTGGTAGGGGTATGCTTAGTATTCTCAGTCGGATCAAAAGGATTAGATGCTCGAGTACGTCCCCTTGACGAATCGACCTCAGAAAATGAAGAATATCTGTTAAAATTAGTTGGTCCCCTCCACGGCCTCATGTACTACCACTTCTGCAAAATGGAGCAAAAGGATGTTGACCTCTATGTGATAATATAAAAAGAAGCTATGTGACTATATGTATATGTGAAAGAAGTTATGAACTTATATGACATATGATATGAAAGTGTATATGTAGAATGATATAAGTGAAAATGTCAATGTTATATGATACGAGAGCTATAGGTATAGTTGGCATGCCAAGAGTCGAGGGTCTACGTGGTCCTTCGGGACATACACTGATCCTTCGGGATATTTCATAGTAGTCATTCGGGATAAAATTTCATAGCCCCTAGTGGGACCCCTTACGAGCTGTGATGACAGCATAGTGCACAACCTCAATAGACTCACATATCTACAGTTCTCACAGGTGTACATGGGTTAATAAGAGATAACATTGAATACAATGTATGTGATATATATATATGTTTTGTGATATGAATTATATGATATGATATATGTGTGTTAATGATTATTGTATATGTTATAAGATATATGATATGAACATAATAGATCATATAAACAAGAGAATAGAAATATGAATGGTAATAAGATGATAATGATAGGAAATAAGATAATTATATGCATGTGTGGATTTGATATATGAATGGATATATGTTTGGGTATGATGTGATAGCAGTAATTATTCATGCATGATTACAAGTTATAGTTTACATTATATATTTATTGTCTCACTAAGTCATAGACTTAGCATGTAAGAGATTTGCACGTAGGTTTCAAGAAGAGTGAAGAGCAATGTGGAACAAGACATGTCAGTTCTCCTTACTGAAAGTCAGATCAGAAGAGAGGTGAATAATATGTATTTTAATATATAAAGTTCTAGTTGGCATGTATTCAAAAGAATATATTGTATAAGCTCTGAATAGTTTTGTAAACGTTTTGAATAAATTATATGTTATAAAAGTTTTAAATTACTCACTATTTTATACAAGTAAATGTTTTGAAAAGTCAATGTGACACCTCATACTCGTATTCTGTTTTTAATACGGGTTGGGGGTGTTACACGAGCACCAGAAGGAGCACGAAAGGAGTGGCCGAAAATTTGTCTTGAGGAAACTGTGTTGCGACAAACCTTAACAGATTCCGATCGACAGATCAAAATAAAAGGAGTATTTATTTCCATTTATTTTTATCTTATATTCTAATAAGTTTAACCTTTTTGGTTTATTTTTTTGAGAATTAATTTTGTCATAAATTGTTATTTTGGATAACAATCTCAAGATAAGAGTAAACTCGTTCTATCTCTTACCCCTTCATTCCCTTTAATTTTATAATGATATTTATTTTATTATCATTATTATTTTTCTATAACATTCTCGGATTAATGTGCGCGATTTTTTATAACAATAAAAAAAACTAAACATATGAAATTAAGTTTTCTTCATTGATTTTTTTTACATGTGCGTGTAGTAAGGAAAATGTTTTTTAAGTTAATAGATTTTCTCAAATTATAAAACCCTAAATTTTAAAACCCTATAACGTATCAGAAATTACGCTTACTAACTTATTGATATACCCGCTCAAACTGACCACAAGATTGTGGGTGATAAGTTGTACTAAAATTCAATCGGGTACCTAGAGAGTCATGAAGAGCCTTTCTCATCGTAAACCCCAGATCACAATCAGAAATATTGGACAAAGGTACCCAATGAAGACAAACAATCTCGAAAATATACCATCAAGATAATCTATCTAGAGTATAATTAGTCTGAACCGTAATGAAGTGAGCAGACTTTGTGATGCGATCAATGATAACCCATACTGAATCCTTCTTGGATTGTGTCAATGATAATCCACTGACAAAATCCATAGTTACTTGCTCCCATTTCCATTCGGTAATCTGAATGGGTTAAAGTAAACCACATAAAAACGGATGCTCAACCTTTACTTGCTGACAAGTCAGACACTTAACCACATACTTAGTGATATTTATTTTCAAACTAAACCAATGGTACATTTCAAGTTTTGGTACATTTTAAAACCACCAGGATGCATAAAATAAAGATATTATGATATTCTCGCAAAATAACATTCTATAACTTAGGATCAATCATAACACAATAACGTCCTCAAAAGCACAATACACAATCCTCATCGAATGTGTACTCAGAATCAAAACTTTACTCAGCTCGTTTTGCAAATTGAAACAAGGATGCATCAAGAGTTTGCTTTAACTTAATCTCAACCACTAAGGTAGGATTAACTCGGAGTTCAACTAATAACATACCATCATCATATAAGCTCATACTGGCAAACATCACCCTCAAATCAATAATCGCTCTACGACTCAAAGCATCATCAACTATTTTGGCATTTTTATAATAATACTTAATCTTAAAATCATAATCCTTCATAAACCCTAACTAGCGACGTTGTCTCAAATTAAGATCATTATTAGTTAATAGATATTTCAGACTTTTGTGATTAGTATAGATATAATACTTTTTCAATATATATATAGTCCTTTAGATTTTCAATGCAGATATCACTGAAGCTAACTCTAAATCATGCGTAGGGTAGTTACACTCATGCGACTTCAACTGATGAGACGCATATGCTACTACCCTCCTATCTTGCATCAAAATAGAACTTAAAATAGTGTGTGAAGCATCATTGTAAACTATATAATCCTTTTTTGACTTTGGTTGGATCAAAATAGGTGTTTGAGTCAGAACTATTTTCAATTGCTCAAAACCCGAGTATTGAGCTTCACCTCAAATAAAAGGTACGTTCTTTCTCAAAAGTTTCGTCAAAGGGACATCAACCATAGAAAATCCCCATATAAACCTTCGACAATAGCCTACCAAACCCAGAAAACTATGGACCTCAACGATGTTTTTAAGTTGTTTTCAGTTCATAATAGCCTTAATTTTTTTCGGATCAACAAAATTACCTTTAGCAGAAATAATGTAACCCAAGAAAATTACTTCACTAAGCCAAAATTCACACTTAATAAACTTTAGATAGAGTTATTTTTCCTTCAAAGCGTGTATAACAATCCTCAAATGCTCATTGTGCTCAGTCTCAAACTTCGAGTAAATTAGGATATCATCAATAAAAATAATGATAAACTGATCCAGATATGGATGGAATACACGGTTTATCATATCTATGAAAGTAACAGGGTCATTAGTTAACCCGAACAACATCAGTAAAAACTTGTGATTACCATATTAAGTATGAAAAATAGTCTTCAGAATATCAAAATCTTTCACCTTAAGCTAATAATAGTTGGACCGAAAATCAATTTTAAAGAAAATAATTGCACCTTGGAACTGGTAAAATAAATCATCAATGTTTAGTAATGGGTATTTGTTTTTAATTGTTAGTTTATTCAGTTTTTGATAATCAATGCATAGGTACAATGATCCATTCTTTTTCTTAACAAAGAGTATAGGGCTTCCTATGGAGAGGTATTAGGTTGAATAAAACCTTGATCCAACAACTGTTGTAACTGGACTTTCAGCTCTCTCAATTCCTTAGGTACCATGTGATAAGGTGCCATGGACAAAGGTGTTGTACCTAGATACAATTCAATTCTGAACTCTACTTCTCTTTTAAACAGTACACCCGATAATTCTTTTGAGAATACATCCCAAAAAATATCTCATAGTACGAATATGTTTAATTCCAGAAATAAACTTTCTTAAATCTAGGATATAAGAAAGGTATACTACAGTATCATTCCAAATCATTTTCTTAGCTACCAAGGCTGATATCACATTAGATAGATAACCTCGATGTTTACCTGTAACAACAACATCTCTATTATCAGAAGCCTTTAAAATAACTCTTTTGCATTTATAATTTAGATTAACATGATGTTCTTTCAGCCAATCGATACCTAGAATAAGATCGAACTCATTCAATGAGATATCCACAAGATTTTCCAAAAACGTCTTCTTACAGAACTCACAACGTATGAATGGTTAGACCCGCTATCAAGTAAAGCAAAATAATGAATAGAATGAATGATAAAAGCATACAACGATGTTTGGCTTATCCCGATCTTCACGATACCTTGCAGTATAAACAAGAGCAAGTTAGTCTTTGACCTCACAGAACCTCTACCCTCGACAAATTGCCCCATACTCGAAGAACCCAATGCATGACCATATGAGGTGGGTCGAATATAGCTACGACCCATCGGTGTATGAAATGATCCCTAAGAACGAGTAGCAGTATGATATGTTAGAGCATGTTATGTAAAATCTCTCAAAAAATGATCAATGAAACCACACCTGAAACACGCTTCTAACTTTTGCAACACTCATCATGCTGACTACTACAATAAATAAAGGTAGGAATAACTCTTTGTGTAAAAAAAAAATCCCTACTCTCAGACTGACCAGAAAAAGCAACATGTCTAGACCTATAACCAAATCTTGAAGTGTCATCCTTCAAATACTTCATAGGACGAGCAGAAGAACCAAATAAAGCCTCAGAATCAAACTTCTTACTTTTACAATTACGTTGCTCCCTACTAAGATATTTTATCTCCTCTATAGTCTTAGCTCAGTCCACAAGCTTAACAAAGCCCCTCTCATGATGGGTAGCTATCATACTATGTATCCCAACACGTAAACTCTTCTCAAATAGTAAACATTTTTCTTCCTCAGTAGTGATAAGTCTAATAGCATACTTACTGAGACGTAAAAAATCTAACTCATAATATGAACTGACATATCACCTTACGTCATATCCATAAATTCTTATTTATACTCTTTTAGATAACGACTACCCACAAACTGACTTTGAAAAACACTCTAGAAAAACTCATAAGTCAATTGATCCCTCGGGGTAGTCATCTTCACTGAATTTCAACAACTCAGGGCATCATCATTCGGCAGTGAAACAATAACCTAAAATATTTGATCTATCGGATAATCTATCTCATTTAGAATACGCTTAGTATCCTCAATCTAGTACTCCCCAACTGACGAGGATGCTTGAGTAAGCCCTCTAAGGTACTATACCCATTATAAAACATAGTCGACGAAACAGTAATGACAATGTCCTCTAGCTGAATCCCATCAGATCTCTAAAATAAACGCAATATTGCTTGACTAACAGTAGCATCCTTTAAATTATATGTGGATCTACCTCCAGTGGTAGGGGTATGCTTAGTATTCTCAGTCGGATCAAAAGAATTAGATGCTCGAGTACGTCCCCTTGACGAATCTACCTCAGAAAATGAAGAATATCTGTTAAAATTAGTTGGTCCCCTCCACGGCCTCATGTACTACCACTTCTGCAAAATGGAGCAAAAGGATGTTGACCTCTATGAGGTGGCATATTATATATAGAGTGGAGTTTGAAATAAAAAGTAAACATAATCCAAGGTTAAATCCGATACTAGAGTCTCAAAATAGAATAATCATATTTGAAAACAGATAAGATTAAAATCATTTAGAAAAATTTTACAATTAAAACGATTTTTGAAAATATTTCTCATACCCAAAACTTTTCGATGCATGCAAAAATTATTTTACAGAACATTATAAAATTTGACAGGTAACATGGTCTAAGAGTTAAACATAAGCTCTGATACCATTAAATCTAACCTCATAGACCCAATCTGGACGTTACGATCAAATCTCAGAGACCACAACAATAATTCAACTTCACAAAAATCATGAAACTTCCATATTAAAACATGCATCATCAGAAAATCAATATAAATTCAAATACAAGAATAAAAGTTTATAATATATGTGAAAACATAGAATCTCAAAATCACATATAAATATTTATAAAATAAATGAAAAATAAATAGTATAAAGTCTGAAAATGTCCATACGATGGATAAAAGAAAAATGTGCTACTAAATGATCCACTAGTTACCAGTCATAATCCTAAAAGTCGAAAGGATCTGAAAAGAAAAAACTAAAAGAGTGAGCTATAAGGCCCATTGTGTCCTTTAGAGTAAAATATGTATCAATATATATTTATAACAACACAAATAATGTATAAACAATAACATCAAAATTTAACCATCAGAGTGTAGCATCAATAGCACACAACTTCACCTTTCACCGTAGACAAACAATATGGGGTGCTACCCTTGGAAAAGGTACACAAATCTGAATATAGAAATCAGGATGGAGTTATAGCCCTCCGAAGAGGATCCCAAACAAAAACAAGATTGAGATATAATCTAATGCAGAGTCAGGACAAGGATATAATTCCATGCAAAATCAAGACGAGATAAATTCTCATGTAAAATTAGAGCGAGGATATAATTCTATGCAGAATCAAGATGAGGATATAATCCCATGAAGAATTAGGATGGGAACATAATCCCATGCAAAATCAGGACAAATATATAATCACATACATAATAAAAAAATGCATCAATACACAGATTATAAGTGATGCAACATTATTCAGAAATCAGACATGTCACGGATAAATATAATTAGATTACGAACATGCTTACAAATAGTATTATATATATAATATATTAGCATAACACATCAAATGTATCAAACATGTCAAGGGGACACATCTATAGTAGCTATCCAAAACTGACTAAGCCTTACACTTTCCACTATCAATCGCACTAGGTCTTGCGAAAAATGAACCTAAAAATAATACCACCCTATGAATACGAAACCATATATCCAAACAAAAATAGACTATAAAGTCACTAAATAACACTTACACATATCTCTAGATGAGCGTGCGAAATTGAACTGAGAGGAACGGGAGTGATCAAGATCTACTGGAGAGCAATCTAGAAACACATTAGCACATTTAGAAAATAACACCAAAAAATGAGTCCCAAATATCACATTTTACTTAGCATAATTAACACTTTAAGTGATAAATGACGTAAAACAAGACTTTTGGGTCAGAACTTGGCAAAACGGATCGTAAAAATGAACTCAGGATGATAAAAAATTTAAAGATTGAGGGTCTTCAGAAAAAGTCAAATGGTCAATGCTCAATGGTTAATGAGTCAACAATCAATGTTTCAATGGGTCAATGGGTTCAGGGCTAGTTCGATCAAACCAATCCAAATTGGTTCAGCATACCGGTTCATGTTTGAACTGACATAATCACTCTCATACGCGCACGACGGCGTGTGGGGGCACCGCAGGTGATCAATTTGCGATGGAAATTACCAGGGTGATGTTTTAAAGCACAAGAAACTACTTACCTAGGTTGGTTTGCAACGAAGAACGATGGAATTGGGTTTTCTTGAAAACTCAAAACTAAACTCCTCACCCAACGTTAACGACGTCGATGAATGGTGAACCAATAGTACCAGACGAACGATGACAGCGAGACGAAGACAATGACGCTGGCAGTGAGCCATACGATGGCGCGGTTGGTGACAAATCGAACAAAGAATGAAACGTAAACAAAAGGATAAAACAAAATAAAAACATATCGGTAGAAAACATATTATGTTTACATAGTGTAAGTGGATCCTAACCCTGTATGTATAAAAGATTATATAATGATATTATAAATTAAAAAGAATTAAATTACGTAAAATTAAAGTATAAACTTAAATTCTCTAATTTCAACACACTAAAAAGATAAAAGGGAATTGGTGATTAAGTACCAACTCATATGACATGTACATGTTTAATAACTTCTCCATTGGATTAATATAATCAAAATTTTAAAGGGTTAAAATTAGATTAAAAGCTAGAAAAAAAAATTAAACCTTATCTACGTATGATTCATCAGCCACTAAACCTAACACAGCAATGTCAAGTTTCTTAAAAGGTATTTTAGTAAGCTAATATTAAAGAAGAAAAATACATATTACTATATAGTGGTCACACTCTTTATATATCTTTATATTATTAATGTGTAGATTAAAAGCTAGAAAAAGAAGAATATTGGAGTGTTATCTAGAAATGATGCATCAACCATAAGCATAAAGAAAAAGACATATTTCTATATATTATTATTTTTCTTCACAATATATTATTCTTGTAGACAATAGTGAGAATTATGTATAAAATGATGAAAAGTATAAACTACCAACTTTAAAATAATGTCAACTTGAGATGACATGGATGCAAGAGATAAGGATAAATATTTGATCTAGTTTCAACGAGTTTTGATTCAATTTGATTTTGTCGAATTATTTTTAAAAAATAATTTGAGTTTAGATCGGACCAAGGTTGAATTTAGAGTAAAAAGATCCAATTCGATATAATATTATAGTTATCTTTCATTTATTTACCTTTATATATGTGTGTGTGCATGTGCGTGTGTAAGGATCCACTTGCATAATGTAATTTTTTTTTGTTTTAAACAGATTTATGATTGTTGGATGAGTAAAAATAAAAGGTTGGGATTAACTCAATGTTTTTTTATAAGGCTTAATGCAAACATAAATGCCAACTTTAGGTACCTAAAGAATTTTTCATTAAAAGTAGGTGTCTAATATTTTTTTCGGTTACACTTTTAGGTGTCTAACGTTTTTTCGTTGCACTTTTAGGTGCCTATGTAGTAATGACAGTTAAAAAATAGTGACATATTTCATATTTATTTTTTGGCTTAATGAAAAAATAAGTGCTAAAATTATACACGAAGTTAACTTTAGGTGCATATATAATTTTTCACTATGAATATGTGCCTAATGTTTGTGATGGTATACTTTTAGGTGTCTAGGTTGTAACGATCTTTAAAGTTGAATGTTATTTGACATGTGTCATGTTTATATATTTTTAAAATTTTGATTTTTTAAAAAAAGTTAAAATATTATTTAAAAAAACATTTTTAAGGAAAAAAATTATCCCACCCGCATGCGCAAAAGATTTCTCCTTCCTCAGTTGCATTCAAAACCCTCCTCCATCGTCTTAATAAATCATTAAAGTTAACTTAGGATGAGAATGCCAAATTTGAGATTAGTGTTAGGGATTAAAGTTTAAATTTAAGGATTTAAGGGGTTAGACGACAACAAGAATGATGGTCGATAATAGAGGTCTGACGATGATTGAGTGACTGTTCTACGATGAAAATGGTTATCAGTGATGGTCGACTACAACTGATAAAATAAGGTTGAAATGAGAAATTTTAGGGTTATTTTTTTTATAATTTTAGAAAAAAATGATTTTTTTAAATTAATAATATTATTAAATTTTTTTTTAAAAAATAAAAAACATGACACATATCACTTAATGCTTTTTTAACTGTCATTATTGCGTATGACCTAAAAGTGTAATATCGAAAATGTTAGGTACATATTTTTAACGAAAAATTCTTTAGGCAATTAAAATTAACTTAGGATATAATTTGAACATTTATTTTTGCATTAAGCTAAAATACAAACATGATATGTGTCACTTTAAGGTTTTTTAACTGTCAATACGGCGTAGGCACCTAAAAGTGTAACGTAGAAAACGTTACGCACCTAAAAGTGTAACGTAGAAAACGTTACACACCTAAAAGTATAACATCAAAAATGTTACACACCTAAAAATATAACGTCAAAAACGTTACATACCTATTTTTAGAAAAAAAATTCTTTAGGCACCTAAAGTTAATTTAGGATATAATTTGAACACTTATTTTTGTATTAAGCTTTTTTAATGAATATCTTCTCATTTCCTACTGTTAATCTCTACTGTTTATTGTCACTCATCTAACGATTCTAAATATATGTAAAACTAAAATGCCTTACATTGCGTAATTGAATCATATCCCTATATTTATATAGGGATATAATCATGTTACATAATGTAAAACTCTTTTAATTTTACACAGATTTATGACCGTTCAATGATTGAAAACAGAAAATCGAGATTAAAAGTAGAAAATGTAAAGATATTTACTGGAGAAAAAACAATGAGTCAATCTCAACTATCTATTTTCACTCCTCCAATGATCCTAAATCTATGTAAAACTAAAGAGTTTTACATTGAATAAATGAATCTTAACCCCCTCTCTCTCTCTCTATATATATATATATTTGAGTTAAATGCAGATTTTCACCTAAAAAATCAAATAAAGTTTCAAATGAGGTGAAATCATCATATACCCGAGTCAAATTGAATGCATCATGCAAGTTGATTTAACTTTGGAATCAAATTTGATTGAATCAAAAACTCAACTCGACCCAAAAACGTTATCATCCTTCTTCCTACTCCCAACCCCTTGAATTAATCCACCTGAAAGTGGGGTGGTGAGGTGGGGCCTCAAGTTTCAATTATTTCATCCTTTGGCATTATGCTAACATCAGGGTTCTACACATACATGTAATATAGAGCTATCTGCATGGTGAAAAGAGAAAAAGAATATACTTCAGATGAAGTAATTGGCTGTTAGTGGCTAATCAAAAGATGTATTGCAGACCGTATATCATCATTATGCTTTCTTTTTGAGACACAAATCAGAGTGATGATCATTGGAATTTGGTCATTTACCACCGGGAAAAAAACTGACAAAAACCCCATATTATCACTTGCAAGAAAAGCCAATTCTACAATTATCACAAACCAAGGTTCAATGTGAGCTAATAGCCTAATTTGTAAACAAAGTGTTGAACAACTTTCATCATGGTTTAAAAGGCAAAAGCTTTGACAAATTTCATCATGGTCCAAAAGCTGTTGATCTTGTTTTACTTGTCCCCAATATGTCATCGGATTCTAGTTGATTTGTCCCTTCCTCTAGCATCATCCCCTGGTACCTGCATTCTTTGCTGCAAAATGCTTTCTCCCCTCTGCAGAATGAGGAAATGTCATCAGATTATGGCAAAAAAAAAAAATAGATCAATACATAACACAAAAGCAAACACACCTGTTCATGTAAATGTCTTTTCCTGGAGAAAGATTCTTGTTGCAAGCATGACAGAAGCTGAGGAAGTTGTCCGATTGGAAACTTGTTCCATCATCACCCCAAATTCCATTGGAACAAGAGAAACCAACAACTCCACAACATGTCTCCACAACGCAATCATCAAAGATATGTGTGGTTCTAGGATTGGTTCCATGAGTTATTACACAAGTGTAATCTTCTGAGAGTTCCATTTCAGAAGCTGAGAGACTACTACCAATGAAGATAGAAGAGAAGGAACTCAACTGGGATGTTCTTGTCTTGATGATGTTAAGATCAGTTGGCGTTGTTGGAGATTCAGATGGAGAAACATGGGGGAAAGATGGGATTTGGACCCTAAGTTGTGAACCAAAAAGGACAGGTTTTGACAAGTTGGGATCAGAACAATCATCTTTGAGAGAATCAACAATGGCAAGACCAATCCCTTTGGAACCAAGTTTGTGTTTGGCTTCAGGTTCTGGGGTTCTATGAGTGCTTGATTCAGACCAAAAAGGGTTCTTGAAAGCTGAGAAGGGCTTGCTATCAAGTATGGATTTTGGACTCATAATTGACTCTGAGTTATCAGAAATTGCTTTTAAAGTAAAACCAGTAAACAACTTGGGGAATGAAGTGGGCTTCTTCTGCAACTCACTGTCTGCCATTATTAAAATCTACACCTACTTGCTGCTTCTTGAAAAACTGCAAAACAATGAAAGAATAAATTTACATGAAGAAGAAGAAGAAGAAGATCATAACAGAAGAAAGTTGGGAACTGTACCCTGCTGTTGAAACTTGAAAGAACTTAACTTTCTCAAGGGAACTTTAAGATAGAGGAAGGATTCCCAAAACCCAGAAAATAAAGGCCAAAAGGTACAATGAAACCACTCTTTGCTACAACTCTGTGGCCTCCATTTTTTAGCAACAAAATTACAAAACCATGGGAATGAAAAAAGGAAAGAAAGATAACCCTTAAACCAACAAAAAAAATCCCCCAAAATGGGGAAAACAGTCTTCTTTCTTAGTGGGATACGTTCTTTAATTCAGGAAATCCACTAGTTCATGCAAATGTAGAGGGAAAAAAAGGACAGAAAGTGAGAGTGACTGAGGAGGAACAAAAGAAGAAGAGAAGTAGTAAAAAGTCTTTTTTTTTTATTTGAAGAGTGTTGGATCAAATTCTGATTTAGAAAAAAAAAAATGGATTTTAAATCAGAATGTTTTATGCAAATCTACTTCATCTGCCTGCTTTCTTCTGCAATCTGCTGATGGTATTTGTGTCCTACCAGTGAGTGAAAATTTGATTGGTGTTGTTTTATCATGTCCTTGGCTAGAGGGTTTGCCTCATTATATGGAAAGCGCACAAAGACTTTCATGGCTGACTGACGTGATTGCTCAACCATACCATTTCAGCTTATCCATGGTCTCCTCCTCGACCTGGAGGGCTTCCATTGATAAGTCATCAATTAGTTTTTATGATAAAGTACACAAATAATCCCTCAACTAGAAGGTGTTATTTTTTTGAATTCTCTGACTATGAAAAGTTATAAAACAGTCCCTGATTATAGGGGAATGCTTTGTCGATTCCCCAACTATTAAAAGTTTCATAATGGTCACTGACTATTCAAATGTTCTAAATTATTCCTTATTTGTTGAAAAATTGAATACTTTAGGTACTTATTTTGACAAAAAAATACTTTAGGTATTTATTGCGATCAAAAAGATAAATTTAAGTACTTATTTTGATAAAAAAACTACTTTAGGTACTTCGATAAGAAAAAAAAGTATACTTTAGTGGCTTATTTATAATATAAGGCTTTAACTATATTAAATGTATACTAATATTTAAACATGGATTTTTACTAAGTTTAGTATATATATTTTTTGTTATTAAATTATTTTTTAATTTAATCACTAACTTTAAAATACAATCATTTTGATCACTAATTGTTAAATCGTTCATTGAATTATTGACATGTCTAGTATATATTTGGTGTAATAAAACATTATCTCTTAAGATTTATATATTTTATTAATTTAATTATAATTTAAATTATTATATAAATTAACTATCCATATTTATGAATTCTATCAATATTTATTTAAATAAAGTTAGTGATTAAATAAAAAGGTGCAGTTACCAAAACAAACATATGTTAATAGTTGAGTAAGGTTTATGTAATTTATCCTAAACTATAAAGTTCGAGACCAACCCTCAATAAATTAATTTTCTTAGCAATTATTGCTCTCGTATAACATGTGTCAAGGTGGGGGCCCATCATATTAATATGTGGGACCCCAATGTTAGCCTCAAAGTGGGTCCCCCTTAACTCCACATTTCAATTGCCGGACCCACCCCTTGATGATTATAATTATTTTTGATAATTTCGTGTCGAAACAATTAATATTAATTATTTCTTTAATTACGTTACGTATCGAACCCAAACATAGGAAGGTACTGTGAATTATTGATGAAATTATAAAGAGTCATCGTCACGTATGATTTTATATTAAGATGGATGAATTTTTAAAATTTTTAAAATAAAAATAATTTATAAAATTTTAATGTGTAAAAATAGATTTTTAATTAAAAAATACATAAAGAATTAAAATATATTATAATTTTAAAATTTTAAAAAAACGACTATATTCACCCAACCCGATGCATTTGTGTCTATGGTAAAGGTTAATATGTGTTTCTTTTAAATGACCCAAATTTAAATAGTGTTTAATTATGTAAAGATAGATATATGAGCTTATATTACGAGTGTAAATTTAAGAATTTATATTAAAATTTTAAAGAGCGTAAAGTTACTAAATTTTAAGAATGTAAAATTAAATTATTAATAAAATAATATTTAAATTATATCAACGTTTAAAATTTTTAAATTATGTGACTACATCTCAATATCTCTTCATTCATCTTATTATGACGAGAATACAAAATAATATTATTTTTGATAAATTTAAAATTTATTCTTAATCTTATTTAGAGGAAAGGGAAAGGGAGATTATAATAGAAAGAAGGGGAATACTCTTAATAGGTCTAAAACCAGTTACTTAAAAAATATGAGAAAATAAATACGAACAACTTAAAGAATCGAACAAATTTGCTTGCTCAAACTAAAATAATATTAAAAAGGGTAAACTATATCACTCATCACTAAACTTTATTATCTCTTATTTTACTCACTGAACTTTCATTTTTTCAATTTACTCATTGAATTTTGACATTACTCATGTTTTGATCACTTCGCCGTTAACGACGTTATGATATGGCGCACGACATCAAAATGATATCATTTTAAAAAAATAAATTTCTATCAAAACGATGCCATTTTAAATCTATTTAAAAAATAAAATTTTTCTTCATTTTCTTTCTTTCCTTCTCTTATTCTTCTTTTTATTCCTTCCATTTTCTAAAAAAAACAAAATAGCAGCTGAAAATGTAATCCAACACAAACCCAATCTCCTCCCTCAACGGTGGTTCTTTAGCTGAAAATGTAAAGCTTTGGGAGGAAGAAGCTGCCTAACTATTAGAGAAAAGGAAGATGGTGGGGTGGGGTGGGGCGGTAGAGAGAGAGAGTGGAGTTGTAAATTAGGATTAGGGTTTAATGTAAAATTTGAGATTTTATTTTATTTTAAATATTACATGTTATAATTGAATATTCATAAAATATATATCATAATTATATATTATTAAATAAGTCACATAATTTAACTATTAGAGAAAAAACGGCCGAGTGATAAAAAAATTAATTTATAAAATTTAATGAGTAAATTAAAAAAATTAAAAATACAATGAATGAAATAGAAGAAAGAATAAAGTTATATGAAAGATGGTGTAGTTTACCCTATTAAAAAAAGTGTAGTATTGATCACTAACTCATTAATGTCAAATTTTAGTATTAAGATAATTTCATACAATATATGAAAATTTTGATATTCAAATAATTTCTTGCAATATATGAAAAAAAACTTTAATACTATGTTTATACGTTCAATGTCATGACCTAATCTTAAATCAATATACAAATTTGAGTAAACTATATAATTGACCACTCAATTATTTAATATTTTTCCTTTTATCGCCGATCTTTTAGTTTTATTAATCAAACCCACCTAGTTATTTAATTATTGTCAATCAAGTCGCTGACGGTTAATATTTAACGAAGATGTTGACTTGACAGTTAATAAAATGTTAATAAACTATAATTAGGATATTTTCTTATAACCATTGACACAAAAACTAGATACCTAGATCACACAAGTACCAAAGAAGGAAAATGTTAAAATACCTAACCAACGCTCGAACAAAATAAAGATACAAACAAATTTGACTGCATCGACAAACGAACCACAAAAGAGGATGAAACTATTAAAAGACTATCGATAAATCACAAATCATGATGAACGATGATCCAAATCAATCTGATGATCCAAAACAGGGAAAATCAACGTGATAACAAATAAACGTCATTTTGATCAGTCGTGGCGATATCAAATCTAACCTTGAGAAAAAAAGATAAACGAAAATAACGTCCAAACGACGGAAAACTACCAAAAGGCAGATATAAACGTGCCACAAAGATAAATATAAATGTGTCATAAAGGTAGAGATAAACATGTCATAAAGACATAAATTATTCTTATTAAAAACAAAAAAAAAGACAACCAGTGGTCGACAATCAACATTAAAACGGGTGTTTATAATAATTTTTTCGACTTATAACTTAATTATTAGATTAAAAAATTTCATCCTCAATTATTTTCATCCTTCAAACTAAACAAACACTAAGAGTTAAACTTAATTACTGATTGATTTTAATAGTAGGGACACACTTGAAAAGAATCTACAAGGGACCCTTTCAAAAAAAATTCAAACCATAGAACAATCTTTGTAATAAAATTACTAAATAAATAAATTTTATATAAATTAATATTAATAATGTACGTGAGTTCAAATAGTTCAAAATAATTTATTTCTTTTGATTTAAATAAACAATTATAAATAATAATTAAATCTAACTTAATAATATGAACATGGAGTCCTATTTCATTTCCTTTTTGAAGGGGTTTTACCTCAAATTAGAGTACCCTAATTTTACATCTGTATTATTATTATTATTATTTTATTATTATTATTATTATTATTATTATTATTATTATTATTATTATTATTATTATTATTATTATACGATTTAATTATATAATGTAAACTATTTTAATTTTATAAAAATTTAGAATTAATAAAAAGATGGTTGATATTTAGATTTTTTTAAATAATTTTTTACATTCCTAGTTGGAAAAAGAAAGAATCAAAATGAGACATTACGAGGAAATTATTACTATAAATAAGGTAGATCGAAATGGTGTTGGGGATGATTGTATCATCTGTAAATTTTAAATTTATATATAATTTAAGCATTTTTATGTTTTTAATATTATTTATTTTCAAATTTATATATAATTTAAGTATTTTTTTATGTTTTTAATATTATTTAATTTCATATCTTTAAAATTTTATAATTACACATAAGTATGGTAACGGGTCGAGTTAGAGTTAGGGTTTGGTTTTTAGTCAACCCGACCCAACCTGAAAATATGTATCCTCCACTCGAATTCGACCTGATCCAGAAATTATATATCCCCCATCCAACTCGAAAATGATATATCCTCCATTCGACTCCGACCGCCCGAATTTTTAGAATATAAATATTATTTTATAATCTTCATGAAATATTAAATAAACTGATATCAAATTGAATCAAGTTAAATATGTGAATTTTAATAATATGTTTTAAATCTTAAAATTTTATATATTCATCTCTTAATATATTTTGTGGGAGTGTCTGATTATGTCGAACAAAACAATAAAGAAATAAAGTAAAACAAACTGATAACCTAACCAAAACAAAGAATTTAACAACAATAACCCTTAACCACAAATATCCAACTGAATCAGCCAACGTAGAAATGTTTTTGCAGTGGTCGGTGCAAATTTCAACTAACAAAGAAGTAATCCGATGAAAAATCATCCAACATGCGTACTAAGTTCACTCATCTGTCTCTTCTTCCACTATATAAACCCCTTGACTCATTCATTTCCTCTTATGAATCTTCTCTGCAGGTTCCATGGCCGAAACCAAGAGGATCTTCACCTTTCTGCTGAGGTTTATAGCCTTTTGCACCACGCTCTCGGCTTCTATCGTAATGGCTTCTAGCCGTGAGAGGACTACTGTTTTGGCGTTGTCGTTTGAAGCCAAGTACTCGGATACACCCGCATTGATGTGAGTTCGAGGCTTGGCTAGGGTTTTTCTTTTGTGTTTGTTGTTAATGTTTGACTGATGTCTGGTTTGCATGTGTAGGTACTTTGTTATTGTGAATGCGATAGTGAGCGTCTATGGGTTCTTGATTCTGTTTCTTCCGTCGAAAAGCCAACTCTGGCGACTAGTTGTTGCCCTAGACGCCGTAAGTTCTTTTTTTCTTTTCTAGGGTTACACGACGGTTCATGTCTCTCAGTTCACAGCCTACCATAAATACATAGTTCGATTCAAATTCGATCGGACTTAAATTGATTGTAGAAAATAGAAAACCAAGTTTGATTGAAAGTATAAAGCATATCATATTTTTTTTTGTTAGTGACAGAACTTGGTGATAAAGTTTTGGGGGGGTTAGTTTCAAATTTTAAAAAATTTAGAAGTTTAAATTAAAATTTTCAAAATTTTTGAAGGGTTCGCTTTACAATTTTTTAGAAAAATTGGGATATAATTATATTTTTTGAAAATTTGAGAAATTTAATAAGAATTCTTAAAAAATTATGGGAGGAATTCAACTAAGAATATTAAAATTTTTTTAAAAATAATATAGGTTTCTAAAAATTGTGGTGATCAAATTAAATGCTATAAAAATTTTAAAGGTCTAAACTTTAATTTTTCAAAATTTTGGGGGCCATGACCCCCACTAATCCCCATTACCTTCCGCCTCTGATTTTTGGTGATTGAAACTAATTGATCTCGTTGGTCGTGAATGGTTTACCCTTTCTAATTTGATCGAAGAATCACAATTGATGAGAGAACGACTGTTATTGTGTTTTTGAGTTGTAGAGGAATGATCATAAAGAAGAAGAAGAAGAGTGGTTGTCGAGGGAACCAATCCTCTTTGTCGATTGTGCTGAAGGGTATTAATTTATAATGGATTTTAGTGTGTATGTCATTCATACGAGTATTATAACTATTCGTAAGTCGAAAGGTTAGGTACATCTGCTAGTTATATCTTAAATTTCGTTCTAACAAATCACATGAGTATGCCAGAGATCTTATCTAGGTCTTGTCTGTGCACTATAACTAACTTGAGGGTTTGTACTAGGAGAATGTGAGTTTTTAGGAGCTTTTAGTTGGTAAGGAATTTGAAATCCCCATAGGTTATTCTCCGGAGATATAACAATATTGATTGAGAGTATGAAACATAATTCAAGTAGTTTTATTACTATGAAAGTTTCTTCTTCAACATAATCAATAAATATTAGGGATCAATGTTAGATGTCAAGTTCTTGACGGGAATTCCTCTTGAATTTCTCCTCTTCTACTCGTGTATTTTTCTGAAGGGTTTTACATGTAAAATATTGATATCTATTTTATTATGCAATCATTATGCTTTTCATTATCTTTAACACTAACGAATATAGTGTGTGTGTGTTTTTACAAGGTTTTCACTATGTTGCTGACTTCAAGCATCTCGGCGGCCATGGCGATTGCTTATGTGGGGAAGAAAGGGAACCCAAATGCAGGTTGGCTACCAATATGTGACCAAGTGAGAAAGTACTGCAACCAAGTCCAAGGAGCTTTGATTGTTGGGTTCATCAATGTTATCCTCTACATCTTGTTCTTCCTCTATTCTATTCATACAACCCTAAACCCTCTTCTACTTGAAAGGTCTTAATTACTTGGGACACATAGGTTTACCTATGGAGCTTTGGTTTCATTTATTTTTGTGTTATTTTCTTTTTAATTTTCATTATTTTATCATATATTATTACGCAAATGCCTTTATTGAGTTTTTGGAAGGCCATAAATCTTTAGTGTGCTCCAAGAACTTGTCTTCTTATTTATTAAGGAAAATGAAAGCTTTGTTAGCGTCATCAAATATGTTATGTGGTATAAATTCAAAAATTAGTACACTATTTAGAGGGGTTGAATAACAACTTTATTGAGTTTTTGGAAGGCCATAAATCTTTAGTGTGCTCCAAGAACTTGTCTTCTTATTTATTAAGGAAAATGAAAGCTTTGTTAGCGTCATCAAATATGTTATGTGGTATAAATTCAAAAATTAGTACACTATTTAGAGGGGTTTGAATAAAAATATTATACTTAAAAAATAAATTTGAATAAATATATTGGATACATATGTCTTTTCATTATTCCCTTCTTTGAGTTTGTGAGATTTACTTGATCTTTGGTTAGGAAATTAATTTAGTGTACAAGAGTACTAAATTTTGTTGTCTAAGTGAGGTCTACTCACTAACCCTTATCATGCCTTTCTAGGTTTTTTACTAAATCAAGAGTCGCCATCGTCTCTGTAGTATAATATATGAAGTAGTTAGTTAATAGATCGGATACTATTGATTAATTAAAAAAAACATTAGATCACAATTAATGGTAGAGGCCAAATAGGGTGATCAAGTCATCATCCTAGGTCCCATTCATATTTGGAGTTCCATTAATTGATCAATAGACTCAAAAGACGCTTTCACATCACCCTACTTTTGCTTCAAAAGTCCCTTGAGAGGACACCAAATTTTCAATACAATTAGGCTAGAAAACACCTTAGATAAAAGGAAACAAACGTTACATTGCATTCATGCTTGAAATGATATATATAGAACCATACTACTTTTATTTCTATAATAGATTTAATTTATCATTTTTACCCTTATAATTTTTACCCTTATGATTTTTTCGTATCACTATTTGTTGACGCCAATAATTTACACATCAGCTAATATTGCTGACGTGGTTTGATGATGACTTGGCATTTATTAAAAAATAAAAAAATATTTTAACCTAATCCCTTAATCCACATACATATAAGACTCATACAGTCAAAGGACTTCGAGGGCTAAGATGATGCCCCTAAACAACTTTGAAGGTTAAATTGATGCGGAAAAAAATGATGGGTCTATTACAAGGGCAAAAATAGCGTTAAGCGATATATATGAGTTATGAATGTGTAAAACTCTTTTACTTTTACACAGATTTAGAATCGTTGTGTAGCTAAATAGATAGTTGGGATTAACTATGAATATCTTTTTATTTACTACTGTTAATCTCAGTCATCCATTTTCATTCCTCCAACGGTCCTAAATCTATATAAAACTAAAAGAGTTTTACACAATGTAAGTGTATCTTATCTATATATGTATCGATTAGAATAGTTAATATTTATATATATATTTAGATCAAATCAGATGCAAATTATTACCTCAAAATTCGAGTTTAATTTTAGATAGGGTGTAGCACTCTTAAACTCGAGTCTGTTTGAGTCAAATGCATGGCAAGGTGACATGCTGATCAATACATTAGTGCAATCTGATTGAGCTTTGGCTCCTGCAGAAAGCATGGCTACAAGGACTAGAACAAAACATGTTGCCATCTTCATGTTTGACATATTGCTTCTCTATTGGTTATTGGATGATTTTTGAGAATTATGTACCAACTTTGCTGTTAGGGTTTTATAAGGAGATTATATGCAAATTAAGGCAGTTGTGGGTGACCAACTTTGCTCCTCTTTGAACTAGATCAATAGTCAACTATATATATATATATATATATAACACGTTTGCAAGTGTTCAATAATGGAGGCTTAAGGCTTTATAAAATTATGTGTGCGTGACCAACCTATAAACAAAAGTTTGGATTGGGTGGGTGGGTGAGTGATGGAGAAGGGTCGGGTGGACGAGGATTTTGGTCTATTTGAACCGATTCGAGTATCGAATTTAATCATTTTTATCTGACTCAACTTTTAAGATAAAAAAATTATTATATCTGACATTTTATTTTTATTATATAAAATAGGGATCTAATTAAAAAAAGTATAAATAGAGATATATTAGAACAATAATCCTTAAATATGTAAGATTAACCCGATAGAGTATTTTTCATGAATCTAAACTTAGCGAAATTAAACAAATATAGACTTAAACTTAGCGAATTTAAAACTCATATTTTGAACCAAATTAAATTTAAATAAATATAAAATATATTAATCTCGTACATAAGTGACTCATTAACCACTAATTATTATTATGATCCGGCTACATGGACTGCCCCAATACTTCTAGAGATAATATGAGGTGATTAGCATTAACCAACTAAAACGGTTAAAGGAATAGTTGTTGTTCCTAGAGATTATGGGTTCGAGTACCCGTGATTGCAGCAAGGTGATTGAGCGTTTACTAACCAAGGAATAGGGTATGTTCGAAAAATTATTACATCCATTATTATTATTATTATTTTAAAAAAGTTGCAACTAGTTGCGTAGCCAAGGAATATTTTTAGTTATCTATAAGAAAAGTAGTTGACAATAGAATGATAGAGAACCTACTTCAACAATATTGGTTTTGGTAATCTATTTTATTATTTAAATCTTTTGATTTAGTTGTTATTAACCAATCAATCAAGGTACACTAATCGCACACTTAAAATTAAAATGTAATTATTAGTTGATGGAGATGAGATTAGGGATGATTAAGAGATAGATTAGGTCAGATTTTTGGTTCACTCGAATATGATTCGAGTATAATATCCCTCCATTCGTTAATCGGCTTGATTCCAGTTTAAGGAAGCTCTATCCCATTTGAAATTCGAAGTAATCTTATAAGGTCGAGTTAGAACTCATCGGGTTCCAGTCAAATGTTTAGATGAGACATTAGAACTATTAAATAAGGTCCACGAGCCACAGTTTGAATATCAAGTTGTAAACTAAAAAAATTACATTGAAAAGGTTCCTCACGGTGAACTATGTAATATTAAATAAAAATTAATCGATCAATGAATCAAAAAATTATGAATATTAGAAAAAATATAACATAAATGTTAAAATATAATGTGTCCTCCCAAGCGGAAAAAGTGGAAAATTTGGCCGATTGCTTCTTGATTTGATTAAGCGATTCAAGTCAAGATAGGACATAATTAGTTAAAGTAGTTGAGCTTCAAATCCACCTGTTTTTCTCTTACTAAACCCGATTCCCTGCGTATAAATAAATCCACTCTCCTTTTGTCTTCCCAACCATCCAATTCCAACACTCAAATCATCTGACTTTTGTCTCTTCTCATCACGACAATGGAGTTTCCCAAGTCATCTTCTGACCATGTCCCGGTTCTGGTCTTGTCGATGATGATGATGATGTTTTGGTTGCCCGTTTATGGGCAGATCAACAATCCATGTACTCCCACGATGCTCAGCACCTTCACGCCCTGCATGAATTTCCTTACCAACAACAGCTCGGCCAACGTGAGTTCGCCGAGCGCGGATTGTTGCAACTCTCTTAAGAACCTCACTAGTGGTGGCATGGACTGCGTGTGCCTCATCGTCACCGGAAGTATCCCTTTCCGGATACCGATCAACCGTACCCTTGCCATATCCCTTCCCCGAGCTTGCAACATGCCCGGTGTTCCTCTACAATGCAAAGGTACGTGGAACATTGAAATTGACTATGGATCAGGCATAAACACATGATTCTACGTTAAAAGATAAATTTATAAAATTTTTAGGGCGTCGGTCCATCCTGCTCTTTATGATCCTAGTTTCATGTGATCTATTGAACATGAAATATTGCAGTTGTACATGTGCTTAACATTTGGTCCAATAAAAAATATTTCTTTATTTTGCAGCCGCCGGTGGTGCGCCTATTCCTGCTCCGGGTCCAATCTCATTAGCACCCACACTCGCTCCTGGAGTTTCGCCATCTTTAAGCCCCACAGGTTCCATTGTGCCTGAACCGACTCCGTCAGCTGAAGCACCGGATTCCGACACCACGCCGGCGTTAACCCCTCCATCATCGACGGCAAGTTCTGGAGGTCCTTCGACAGCCACCACAGGAAGCCGGGCCGGTGTTACCCCATCAGCTGCCAACCCCTCTTATAGTTTCTCACCATTCCTTTTGGTGTTAACATTAGGATTTGTAATATTCAAGTACTGCTAGGCCAGCAATGCCTCCAATTTTTATTTAAATTAATAAATATAATTTTTCTATTGAGGCTTATATACAATTTTCAATTAAATTTAAATAGAATATATATATATATATATATATATTATTTAATTATCTATATTTATTCTATTGATTGATTAATTTAGATTACGAATTATCAATATTCTTTATAAATGTGATTTTCACAATTCAATTTACTTTATTTATAATGTCAAAATTTAAACCCTTAATTTTATTTAAAGAACTTAATACCTTATTTTAGTAAACCAACTATTTTAATACCTTAATTTTATTTAAGGAATTTAATACCTTATTTCAGTAAACCAACCATTTAATCACGGGCTGAACTTTTTGAATTTTGTATTTAGTATCTGAACTCTCAGTTTTGATTTATGTTAGTAGTTAAACTTTTAAATTTATCAAAATCATATCTAAAGTTTAGTTTTTGTTTCATTTTAGTACCCACTGTTAAAAACTTTAAATTTTGTTTTATTTTAGTATCCCGTTCAAAATTTAATGTTAAGTTTTTTAAAAAATTAAAAATTTAGGTAATAAAACAGACTAAAACTAATAGTTTAGGTACTAAACGCGTTAAGTTTATGAGATGAAAGCTAAACGTTAGGTATGATTTTGAAAATATTGAAAGTTTGGATACTAAAATAAAAAAATAATAGTTTAGATACTAAATTTATAGTTTACCCTTAAATTAAATTATATTGCATTACTTTTAATTAACAGAAATATTTTAATTAGGATCTAACTTAACGACCATTCCCGCCACACTCCACGAATTTACTTAAACACCCTCTCCGTAACACGTTATTAACAACCTTAACCAACCGTTTCTCTTTCTCGCTCTCCCTCAGCGCCATGGCGACGAACATCTTCTTATTGCTCCTCCTTGGTGCGGCGGTGCAGCCACCGCCACCAGAACCTCAGAGCGCAAACTGCGTGGACGAGCTGGTGGTGTTTTCACCCTGCCTGCCCTTCGTGTCGGACCCTCCAAACAACGCCTCTGACTCCGTTGCTCCACAGCGCTGCGACGTCTTATCTTCTGCTTTTGAATCCAGCGACGGTTACTGTTCCTGTTACGTCCTTCGGCAGCCATTGATATTTGGGTTCCCATTGAACAAAGAAAGGGTTGCTTCACTGCCTTCTTTTTGCATGGCCAAGAACGGCGTCGCTTCTCTGGACTCGCTCTGCTCAGGTTTTCATCTTTTTGCCCAATTGTTTGATTCACTGATTTCTTGATTAAGAATTCATCAAGTTAAAAGCCTTTAATCTTTTGACTTGATTAGGAAAACTAGTGGCTTTTAACGCTTTGATTAATGTAATTGTGCAATTCTTAATTATGATTATGCAATAGGTGTACCATCGTTGCCGCCATTGCCAAGCACCACCGATTCATCGGATTCGTCAGACTTGCCTCCGGAACCTGTGGTAAACCCGCCAACACCACCGAGTTCCTCAGTAGAACAAGCTATGTTTACTTCTGCATCAAACCGGGTTTGGAAGCAAAGAAGTTGGTTCCTTCTTGGAATGATGAGTTTTCTTCTTAGTCTACATTCAATCCTAGTATGACAATATTGTAGATTTCCCAATTTCATTCAATCTATACTATTGATGTAAATAAACACTTTGTAATCAGCAAAATGATAATGTATGAAGATGTCCTCTTTCCATTTGCTTTACCATTATGCCATACTGTGTCACTTGAAGTGAAACACCTAATTTCATCACATTTATCACTGTGAAAACTAAAGCAGGCAAAGCAAAGGCCCCCCTATGAAAAGAATGGCAAAAAATAGAAGTGAAAGAACCCTCATGTGTCACATTTCCACCCGTCGGACCAGTCGGCTTCATCTGTCCAAGTTTTGGCATTTTCCGTTTCAGCTGTGTCTTCACCCCATCTTTCAGCAATGCTGCTTTCATCATGAATCTGACATTCCTCCAATGCTGGCACTTCATCGACGTACACTTCTTGCTTTTCAGGCAGAGCACAGCCCTGGTAAGAGTTGTTATCGGCACAACGCCATATAAGCTGGCTCCAGTATGGGTCCTGCCATTCATTTATGATTCATCCACCAGCTAAACAATGAAATTATACAATGATTCTGAGGATTTATATACTGGATTAGCAAATTTTTGCCTACATTATTCCGGCAAATTGAGAATATAGTATAAAAAAAAAACTAAGATCCTCGACTATGTCTTCTTACTTCTTAGTCACACAAGGTCTTACTAATGATTACTCGAAAATAAATGAAAACCACAAGTGAATCGATACCTTGGCAATTATGTGTGGATTTCCAATAATAACAAGCAAAGCTATGGCACGGGTAATGGCCACATTAAACCTTCTAGGATTGCTCAAAAACCCAAGGCAGTGGATTCTGTCAAACTCATTGTGTTTGATTGTTGATCGGACGGTAGATATGATGATAACTTTCCGTTCTTGGCCTTGGAATTGTTCGACGGTGCCAACCTTGATATCTTGTGTGTCGAGGCTCTCAAAGGCCTTCTGTAGTTTCAGGACTTGCTGCCTGTAGGGGGTTATAATCCCAATATCTTCCTGGCTGAGAATCCCGGTTGCTATCAAACTATTAACAATTTGTACAACCTTGCTGGCTTCAATCCGATTGAACCATGACGGATTACTTCCTTCCCTCTCGTCACAGCCTTGTATACCAAAGAAAAAGACAGGGTACTCCTTGTTTGGAAAAAACTTAACTGAACTCAGTAACGAACCTGTGTCATCTTTGCAAGGGATTAATTCTCCGTTGTAGAAAAGCAATGAAGGGAGATACAGGATCTCGGGGTGACATCGGTAATTTCTAACCAATTTTGTCACATAGTTCTCATCCCCATTAGAGTAACACTCATGTTGGAACAGCCTTTCTAAGTATGACTTCCCCAGTCCAAAACCATCGGCTTCTCGGGAGTATATGACCGGGCCTAACTGCATTGGGTCCCCAGCAAGCACAACAACAGTCTCTTTTTGGCAAAGATGTGCTAAAGGGATCATGCTTTCCGGTTCTGAAGCTTGACCTGATTCATCCAAGAAAATATGAGTAAAATGGCCCTTACTAACACTTTCTGCATACAGGAGGGAGGAACTCATGTACGTTGATATCACGATTCTGTAGCAGGCCAGAGCTCTAAGCGGAGGACATTTGAAGATAAGCTCATCAAAGAAACAAAACCGAAGAAAATTCGGTTTGACATCATCATATGGCCGCGTAGCTGCATTTAGTCTGAATATTTCATTCTCTTTAAGCTCAACAGATTCCTCATTGAGGAGTTTCTCTAGTATGAAATCAGCTGCACTATTTGAAGGTGCGCACACAAGAATTCGAGAAGACTTTTGGGTTTGATAGAGCTGGAGGATTGCCTCCACTATTGTCATGGTCTTCCCTGTACCTGGTGGCCCAAAAATCATATAAGGTGGTCCTCCTTTGCAGCCGAGTATCATCTCAATTGAACACATCTGCTCCTCATTAAGTGTACAACAGATGGGCACTAGTGGAGTGGTTTCGATCACCCTACTTTGGGGTGACTCAGATGGAAAAAGGAGACTTACGTCTAGTCTTTTTGTAGCATCAATGGCATGGTACTGCCTTCGCATATTGATTCGGTTATACGTGAACTGCACATTATAAAGATTTTCATCTATGTGATCCGAGTGAAATTCAAGTGCAAACTTCAAGTACACTTCCTCAGCTTCTACTCTGTGGATATAACCCTGAAAATCACCACATTCACTCGTCAAAAAAGCCAGAAGATTCTCCAAAAAAATAATAATAAAGCCCATAAGACTAGAATGAAAAATGGAATTGGAAAGAGAAAGAATAAGACTAAGAAAGATATCAGAAAATCCATACCATACAACATACAGATATCGAGATTTATGATTAAGAGTTAAGACAGCCCAGTTTGTAACTTTGTATTATTCAGATATGATATATGCATTCCTGTTTATACAGATTATGTTGACGATGGCATCGGAATAACAAGTATGCATTATCCGCTCAAAATGAAGAAAGACCTTGCTCTTCAGTTTTTAATGACCCCAAGAAGCTTGACCTTAAAAACGGATAAACATCTAAGCATTAAACCACATATAGACCGGAATGACATAGCAGCAATTAAGTCCACAGATTGTCAAGAATATAATTCAAATATCACAATTCACACTTCAGCCGAGGAGGATGGAAGTAACTTAATGTTAAAAGGAAATAGCATAGAGTATTTTGCATGTAAACCAGACCTCATAAACTCGAGCTGCTTCACTAACATCTTCACAAGCGAGTTTAACGAATATATGATCTCCATGAACAAGTGATGGCCTTTTTTCAGCGAGCCCCGGGACCTGAAGTGATAAATACTTCCCTTTCTTCCTCATGTTGATGTTCTCCATGTTATAGGCCCTCATATCCTCCTGAAGCCACAAAAAGGGATTTCTCAGTTCCATATAATGCATATCAATAATCAACCATATATTATAAACAACTGAAGATTAGAGTTACCTCTAGTTGTAACTCTTCCAGGATTAAGAGATGTCTTAAGTAAGCTGCATAATTATCTCTTGTAAGGCCGGCTTTTATAACATCGGGAGTCTGCTTATTCTCGACCAGTTCTCTGATATCATTCGGAATGCCATACCAGGGAAGCTTGTTTCGAGCACCTCGACCCATTGCCCTTGCCGGGCGTGACCCAGTAACATATTCATCAACCGAAAATTGTTTCTTTCTTTGAGTTCTAGAGTATGGCTTTTTAGATGCCAAAGAATGTGAGATCTTGTCTTCGACCAAGAGAAAGGCCACTCTTTCCAATCTTTCACCCTCAACATCAAAATGCACTATCGTAGTATGCAAGCCGATTTCTTTTGCTTTGCAGGACAACCAAAGGGTTAAAGTCTCTCCGGGCTGTATCATTCGATCCTCTAAATCGAAGAACTCAATGAACTCTTGGCTTGTATTTTCGTCAGAGTTCCCCAATGGAGGTTTCATCAAGGAAAGAGTGAAAGAGTTCTCCGGTCTCGATGCATATATTTTTGTCCAGCATTCCACAGGATCATCAGTGGTGTTTTTGATACTGATGAAATCGAAAGCAGTTAACCCCACAGATACATATCGAGGATTCCCATTTGAAAATGGGAATGGTGTAGAGATTACAAGAGGACCGTCCTCAAATGGATTGAAATTACAAACAGATTGATCAATCGCATAATCGATGAAATCTATTCCTCCTTTGTCACCAATGACGGAATATTCGTCATCGGATCTGTCACCAGTCGTTCCCATCACTAACCTGAAAGAGAAGAACCGATTCTAAACAAACAAGAAAACACAATAGCCAATCATAAAACCCTTATATAAGCAGACATACACATATAAGATACAGTTCATTACAATGGAAAAATGAATGAGAACAAATTTTCAGCATCATCAACAACAACAAGAAGCCGACATCGCACCACGATTATGATACTAAAAAAAGAGGGAAATGGTAAAACATGATGATGATAATCAAGCTCGATTTCAAATGTCATTAGAAATCAAACAGAAAAAATCCCAACATTTCAATTTTTGAAATTCAACATCACCATCAAGGCATCAACCATAACGTTCATGTAAAAATTCATGGGGGAGAGCATAAACCAGTCCACAAAGCAGAAACTAATAAACCCAGAAACAAAAAAAATGACAATGTAGAAGAAGATAGAGAAAACAAAGGGAAAAACCACAGCAGAAACATAATTTCAAATCCATACTCTGCAAAAACTAGGAACACATAAAGAGTAAGTAAACATGAAACACTATATTGAAGGGGGAAAAGCAATTAAAAAGAAGAAGAAAAACTCACCTCAGTGGATGATGAACCGAAGCGTGGACAGTGGAATATGGAAGAGTGGGTACGAAAAGATCAAAACAAAACGCAGAGAATTCAGGGACTTGGGGGAGAAACTACACAGATAAACCATGAATTCCTTTCTTGTTTTTAATAAATAAAAGGAATAAGGAAAAATAAAAGCATGACCAATCACAATCAGCAACTTGTGTGGCAAAATCATATTGGCTCTCACGGCTTCTTAAATTGGCTTTGCTCATAGAAAGTGAGAGATGCATACAATTAATTCCCTTTCTGTGAAAGGAAAGCTAATTATACTTTAAGCTCTTCTTAGTCTCCACCTGTGTTGGTAGGTTACTATTTTACATTCGCTTATCTCATTATATATGAAAACAAGGGACATTCATTTTTGAAATGAACATCTAGTTTAGTTGATAAAACGTAAGGTTCTTAATCTTGAGGTCGTGGGATCGAGTTTCACGGAGGGCATTTCATAATTCGGAAGTCTCCCACAAAAGCTGCTCTTAACCTGACGTTGGGGGCATCCTACTATCTTACCTCCCCTTACTATATTACATATGAGAATAAGGATCAGCTAATTTAGTCTCTACCTTTGAGTCATTAAATTATCAATTTCAAATTAATCAATTTTCTTACAATTTTAAATAAAGTAAACTACACGTTTAGTAGCTAAACTATTACTTTTGGTTCGTTTTAGTACTTAAACTTTTATTTTTTTTCAAAATCATGTCTAATGTTTGGTTTTTATTTCTAGTACCCTATTAAAAACTTAACTTTAATTTTTTTTAAAAAAACTAATAGTTTATGTATTAAAACAAACCAAAATTAATAATTTAGGTACCAAACTTGTTAAATTTTTAACGAATGGTACTAAAATGGAACAAACACTAAACGTTAGGTATGATTTAAAAAAATAAAAGTTTAGGTGATAAAACAGATCAAAACCGATAATTTAGGTGCTAAACACATAATTTACCCATTTAAATATTATGCATAAGAAAAAAATTACTTAAAATTATAAAAATTTATTATCATATGCATTGATGATGATAAATCTCTTATCTTTATACTTTTCTAAATATTCTAAAATGATTACAATATATCATATGTGTCTAAATATAAAAATATTTATGTATATTTATAAGTAAAACTGATTAAACCTAAATCACTTAAAGACGATAACATTCTCTTTTTTATGTACCACTTTTTAAGTGTCTTTATAAATATTTAAAGATGTATAATATTATAATCATTTTACGATCAATTTATACGAGTTTTTAAAATTAAATCTCAATGTTTAAAAGATATATAATATATATGATTTATATAAACATGACATAAAATTCAATAATTACATAAGTAAAACATCAATTATATAAAAATTAATTGTTATAACATTTAAAATCCACTTAATTTTATAATAACACAGGAAATCATATGATGATGTGTTACATTAGATTAAACTAATATTTAAAATTAGTTAAAAAATTTAAAACTTACCTCAATTTCTCTATGATCTGCTTCCAATCTATCAAGTGTCCATCACCCTTGTAACATCCCGAATATCGAATTGGTAGTTTTGAGTAAATCTGAATGAATTTTAAAATAAAAATAAGATATCATTTCAACCCAATATATAGTCTTATCAAAACTTCTTGGAAAGATAACCTAATATCTAGTCTTGTCAAAACTCTTTGGGAAGACAACAAAAATCTAATCTTGTCAAAACTCGTTGGGAAGACAGCTCAATATCTTGTCTTGTCAAAACTTCTTGGAAAGACCATCTGATATCTATTCTGGTCAAATCTCCTTGTTTTCTTCCTCGTAATCCTTAATTTACTTCTAGAAAACCGCATCAAGACTTCCATTTTAGCCTAAGATTTTGTTTTCGTTCGGTTGAAAAGGGAATCTTTGAATTGAGTCTATTACGAGAAGGACTAAAGTTGTAAATTGCCCCTAAAGTTATCTAAAGGTTGAAAATCATTTAAAGAAGTTTAAGTCACGTAGGGAAAAATGTTCCTTTGTCTTCTTCTTCTTCCGACTTCAAACTTCTTCTCATCATTTTAGTGTTTTAAGAAAAGGTGAAAGCTTTGATATCTCTCATTCTCTTTTCGGTTTTATAGAGGTAAGAAAGACAACCTTCACTCCTAGTAGTCCATTTCAAACCCACTTTCTCATATTTTGGTTATGGTGATCAAGATTAGGGGTTTTAGAGAGGTTTTAGGTTTTAGAACCTTAGAGTGATTCTAACTTGTTTTAAGGTTTAAAATCGTGTTTCTACCTCTCCTAAGTTATTCGATGGGTTAATGACTCATTTCATGTTGTTCTAGTAACATAAGTGGGGGAAGGCTTCAAGAGCAAAAAAGAGAGAGGATAAAATAGTACTTGTGTGAGCTTAAGGTTGTTTCTTCGGCTCCTAATTGTAAGGTAACACACTTTTAACCCTTTTTTACTACTTGTAACTAAATATTTGTAGTATGTTGCTTGTATGAGTGTATGAATCATTTGGGTGGTGTATTTGGGTTCTAGCATGAAAATGGGAACTTGATGTTATTCATGCATAATGCAAAGACTTTTTATGATCTTTGAACCTACATAAGCTTTAAATAACGTTAGGGACCTTGGGAGGGTCTTAAGAGATATTTAGAGTGTTACAGTCGTGAGAGACATGACAATATGGGTTTGGGGTATCATTAATATAGGAATATATCGATAATATTCGTTTATTAGGCTGAAAATCAAATGGTTTTGTATAGAAGTATCGATACCCAGTTCTTGGGGTCTTAGTACTATTCATAGGATATCAATACTCAGGGTTCAATATCGATACTAGAGAAAACTTTACAATTTCTAGTATACCCAAATTGTACCAATACTCGAGACGATATTGATAACAATGAGGCAAGTATTGATACTATGTTGTACCCCATTTCATCAAGGGATTCATGTAATGGTTAGAATCAAAGGGGAGCACTAATAAAAGCTTGCAAGTGGAAATTTTAACAATTGTTTGATAACATAATATCTCTATAAGGTAAGATTTCATAAGACTTATGCATTGCTTGATGCTCGGGAAAGCATTGTTGACACCCGAGTTACTTGTGTATGGCGTTGGTTTACTTGAGTAAGGAATTATCCGGATATATCCAAGTTAGTGTTGGGCTCTATGAATGCTAGTTGGATGGGGTACTGATGCTAAGTGACTCGACCATATCCCGAGGACTCTAGAGGAGTAGACTAGCTGAGTGAGTTTTTGATGCGATGTAATCCGAACTCAGCTCGAGTTATAGGGAGACGTTGATGTTATGTGACCCATGTCTCGTCTAAGGTTATTAGTAAGCAAAGAGAGGTATGAGTTTCGCGATGCTAAGTGACCCCGAGTTACACCATGATGCTTACTCTTGTTGTTGTGATACTCTATACAATGTTCATAACAATACCTATAGCATGCTCATTTATTGGATGTATGTAGTATACTTGTGTTTTTTGTGTGGCACTGAGCTTGTGAGCTAAGTGTTTGAAATGTGTTTTTGTGCGCATGTTAGTATGTCGAGCCATTCGAAGAGCACTGTCGTAGCAGAATTTCCAGCATTCCTCACAGAGTATTGTTTGGTTACTTGTAGTGGGCATGTGTATTCATAGGACCCTTTTTGTTGTATTCGGATTTGTAAACTATGAGATTATATTATTTTGATTTAAACTATATGTTATGGAGCTCTGGTTTGTAAAAGTATTTTATGACTATTACTAATGTCATTTCATAAATATATGTTGTTTTAAATGAAAAAAAATAGTTAACCTCTTTGGTGGTTCCATGCGATATTCGAATCCTCTGAACTTTGGATCATATTGAATTAGGGTGTTACAAGGGTTGAAACTCTCAATTTTCTCATTTTTTTCATTGTAATTGATTTTTTATTTCGAATAAAAAAGGAAAGGAAATATATAAAAAGGAATAATGTAATTTTTTTAAAAAATATTTCCTAATATGTTAACCCAAAAACAAATAAAATGCGGTGGGATGTTAGATATTTTTATAATGACATCTATTCGTTTAAAAAAGATTCATTTTAATCTAATGGTTGAAATTAATTTAGTTCTCCTAACTCTTATTGGAAAATTCTTATTATAATTAAGGATAACATACAAGTATAATTTTGTGGATTTCGCATTGTATCCGCACTAGTTGGGACGGAGATGGGTATAAGTTTAGTGGGTAGTGAGCATGTGTAGATGTAAAAAGCCATACCCAACGTGGGTAATGAGTAGGTGATAGGTTTAAGTCCTTACCCGCCCCACATCCACTCGCCCCAAATCTACTCGTCCATTAACTATCCACCATATAAAATTTGGACTATTATAAATTTAGATATAATTCTAAAGATTATTTTATAAATATTAAGATTTTATAGGACATGACATGTAATTTAACCAAATATTATGATATAAATACTT